TTGGGTATTTTATATATCTGTATGTATGTCTTGAGGCCTTTTTCAGTTTCTATGCTTCGTGTACTATTTACCTATATATATGCCAGAATGAAATAAAGAAACATAAATATTTTATTTGATAAGATTAACAAGGTCAAGTTCTCATTCCTCTTCCCCCTCCCCCCACTCCCCTAAACCTCAAAAAAAAATTGCTAGAAAGATTTATCACCAAATCAAAAAGATTACAAAGAGAAGTAATTCGAGGATTTCATCTAATTTTTGTTTACATAGCAAATACTTTATAGTCTACTTTCTTCTTTGGCTATGAAATTATTTTGATATTTTTGAAACGCCCTACTCCTCCCAGCTTCATGCCCCATCAAACAGTCATCCCCTGTAATCCTCAGTCACATTAACTGGGAGAAACTCAAACTTCAGTCCCAGAACTGTAGAAATGGGAGCGATAAAATTCTTAGGTTTCCATGGAAATCTATCAAAATGTAAGGATAACTCCACCAGCTAGTCATACCTCATCTTATCTGCCATATACAAATTTTTGTCATGTAATTCAAGTGCATTCATACATGGAATTCTTTTGAAAAGTAAATTATTATTTTGATCCAGTTTCATAAGCAAACAGGTGCAAAGATCTAGAACTGTTAGAGAAAAAAATATGTATCAATGGTGCAGAGATTTCTTTTCTGTTTTATCTAATTCAATGTAAAAATAACTGTTTCACACTGAATTTATTTATAAAAATTAAAAAAAGACTTATACGTTAATTTCTTAAATCTGTTGAAAATTTTTTTATAAAATGTCAATTTTCTGTGAACCAAGCAGAGGAAACATGCAAGGTTTATGATAGATGCCAAGGTGTATTAGATAAAACACCATTGGCTGGTGTAAAAAGGGAGATCACTTTTTAGTAAGTGACTAATAAAGTGTCTGAGGGAACATCAATTTGTAAATAAGCAATGTAAATATATATAGATTGGACATTTCTGCAGGCAATTGCTGAAACACAACTCAAATATTGTGAGGTTTTACCTTCAAATTGGTTCCGAATTCTTGGGTAATTGCTTGTTTTTGGTGCCTAACTTTATAACTTCTTTAGGTTATAAAAAAGCACTTGGCTGTTCCCCAAAAGTGTTTTAGTATAATGTATGTATGCATCTGTATCATGGCCAGCCCATGCACTACATATACAAACTCCTAACATGTTTCTGTGTATTTACACAGAGACAAGGTACCAATAAAGCTGTAGTGCAGCGAAGAATACTAGTAAAGTGTGATCCGAGCATTTCAGTTCTTACAATTGTAGGGATCTATATCAATAAGCAGATGATTTCTCATCCACGCAAAAATTCTAGAATCTGTCTTTCAAATTAACTTTGGTTTTTCATCAATTTTGGAGCTATGTGTCAACGGTAGTTTGGGAGATCTGGGGTAGGTATGTAGCACTTTATAACAAGTGACAGGATACAGCAAGAAAAGCATGTCGAAGAGAAAACCAGAGACAAGATAAACTAGATTATAGGGGAAATAATGTTACAAAATGTTGGCTATCTATTACAACATACTGTCTCTTATACCATGTATTGTCTGTGTATATTGTCAGAACCTATATCTCTTTATCCGGATTAACTGGGAAATTAATTTCATCAGTTCAAAGTTATATTTGATTACTTAAGAAATTTAGATGCAGCAGGTTTACAAATAATACCCAGGATGGACTGTGTATCATATATTTAGTTAGTACAGATAGGTTTACAAGGTTAACTGGTAGGAGTTTTGTTGGTACCATTAGCCCATACCTCATCCGTTCATAATATAATTACTGTTAACTTGCAAATTTTAGAGTCTTGAAGTTATTGTGTTTGGCTGGGATCTCTGAAATTACTTGTAGCATAGAGTTATGTTCTAACTTTCAATTGGCACAGTTTTGTTGCAGTATAGAACTTACTAGACTTGGTAGAATTGATAATAAATTGTGTGTTCGCTCACAAAAGCATTGTCGCTGAGTAGTGGTGGTAGTAAAGTCTAAAGATGTCTGTAAACAACTCTAACTGGAGAATTCCCAGCTTATTTCTTGATTTCCAATCTTGTTTGTGAATTGTTGGTGTCTAGTATAAGTTTACTGTTGGGAGATATTGATTCGGTTATATAACTCCCTGCACAACAAAAACTATAAACATCAATGGCTAGAACCTCAAAGATGCTTTTAATGCTTTATCAAAGTGAAATACATTGTGTGGAACATAAACAGCATCATTTACTGTATCCCAGAAGAATGCTGTGTATATACACAGTATAATCTGCTGCTGGTGACTTTGAGAAACTTTCAGATTATTTGTAATAACAGCTACAAGAGGTAGACATTATTCAGCAAAAGTAAGAAGCACATGAATATGCGACACCTCTTAGTATTTGATTAACACTGCTGTTTTCATCAAAGGCAAATGTTTGTGTTGGTATGGTTTATAAAGAAACTTTATGTGGAATGCTTTTAATAGAATAAAATAAAAATGGTTGTGATAAAATGGAGAAATAAAAAAAATTAAGATTTTGTAGTAAAATTTGTTGGTCAGAATTTTCATTGGTAAATACTACAGCTGCACGCCATGTCTTTACAGGTTTTTAGCACTGAAATACACAATGTATTGGTACATTAGTGTTTTATTGGGGATGCTTATATTAGAAATAGGTTGATATGATTAATGACCTCCGACTACAGATATTGTTTGTGTGAGATATGTACCATTGTAACAAGTTTATTACATCTTTTCGTTGTCTTGTTGTCCACTGTCAGATAGTGGGACTCAATGCCCCACAATGCATGGCCATGTTACTCTGCTCGACTAATGATAGGTTCAGGAATTGTCTCAATAATTAACTGAACACTCTTTATTCTTTTGTGTAAGTTATGTGTTAAAAGAACCATTTAACAATTCTGTTAATTAAGTGCTAGCTGGGAAGGTTATGTAAACAAAGTGATGTGTGATGACAGGGTGTAATATTGATTAACGATAATTATTGACAAGCAAAAGATCATTTTATGCTAATCCTTGACACTAAGACAGACCCATTATATTGAAGAGACAGAAGTGGATCTTCGCTTGGCAGTTTCACATGCAGAGTTATAACAGGCTTTCATATAGTACTTCAAAGTCTTTTGTGCAAAATATTCAGTCTGTATATTGAACTGGGTGGAAGATTCACAGATTTTCATTGTCACTTGTTTATCGGAGTTTGATGAGATTCATTAGAAAAACTTGTTACAAACTTTGGATAGTGGTTGTGGATGTGGTTGTGTATATCAGGATGCACATGAATATGGGGAGGAGACTGTAAAATGCTGAGTACATTAAAGAGGCTATCACTGCCCTATCGCAGGACACGTACAGATAGTTCACTACTCCCAAAACGTCGCTCTTGTAAGTATGAGACTGTCATGTTTCCACTTGTTTAAACTGCTAACAGAACATTTATAATTATGCTTGCTCTTAGAGAACTACCACCAAATCTACAAATTGTATGTTTAAGCAGTATTCTTATATAAGTAGTTACAAAAGTTTGGGTTTTGTGCTAATTTGAAATGGAAAAAAAAATATAATTATGGAAATTTCAATTAATATGTTTTACACTCTGGGAATGAGTTACAATGTATAATGTTAATAACTTTTCTAGGACTTGCTGAAACCAGAGTCAGCAGATGAGAATTACACTGTATTAAGTGAACTAGCATATGTCTAGTAGTACAGAAAAAAAAGTGTGTTATTCCTGGTTTGATGATGTAGTAAGTCTTAATAAAAGTGTTTAATTCATGCATGTAAGTGATAATAATATGTAACCTCTGATCATCAACACAGGATCCTGAGAGCGTTTGTAGTGTGTTCTTGTTGAAGTCAAGATGCTTTTTCCTGATCTTTAATAATTGAGGAATCAAACAGCTCAAAACGAGAGGAGAACAATCTGCTAGAGCTGAGCTAGCCACAGATGTGTGTGTAATCAAAGGGTACAAAACATACATGAAATAAACTGTTTTATTAATGTATACATCTCTTGTATCAGGGTATATTGCTATAGATGTTGGAGGTGTGTTCAGACACTGTAGAGTACACACACATACCAATAAATACAAGTCTGGGAAAAAATTTCATGTTACTGTTGTTCGTTGTTATAAGGTTTACTAAGGGGTGGGAAAAAGTACAGATGAGAATTCTCTGTTTGATTACCGAATGTCTTGTCATATTGTTTTTGTATTTTAAAGAATTAAACATCAGACAATCAGCTAATGATATAGAAATTAAGAAGACTTTGATGGCTATAGGTCTTGGCTGATCTAGATCCAGTATAGTATAGAACTGTGGTCTGTGTAAACTACAAAGTAATACTGACCTAGTAATAAATCTGTTGATGCAGGTCTGCATCATTTACTGACCAGCTTCTGTGTTGACCTTTATATGCTCTGCTGATCTGAAAACAGGCAAAGTATCCAATGCTGCTGATTTTGTTTCATGCTCTGGTTTTTATATATAAAATTATTTATATATTGATAACTAACCCTTCATGTACAAGATACTAGTTATGAACATCTGGTTCCGGCCCCCTTGGGTGGGAGGGGCAAGTCCCAATGGTTGAAATGGAGCAACATCTTTAAAATCCTTCTTGTGTTGGAATGATTAAATTTTGTCCCGATTTAATCTGATGCATCCTTTGTGAATAGAACTTAATTTTGTTCAAACAGTGCATCAAACCCCTTTTGAAAGGAAGGGTGGGGCTTAGTAGAGGAAATAGATACAAGTAGTTTAAACACTTTTCTTAGTTTTTAATTAATCAGTTACACCTAACTCAACCAGATGAGCAATACAGGCCCATTAGGCCTCTTGTGATGTTTGTGCCTTACTTAACACACAGTCCTTAAACATTGGTAACTTTTTACATTACTAGTTACGTTTGTTACTTAACACTCAGGTTTTATATAATGGATTAGTCATTGGTGATTATTTTATACCTTGCAGATTCCTTCGTAAACAGTCAAGAATGGACACTCAGTCGATCTGTTCCGGACCTCAAGCTGGTAAGTCTCTGTTCTAATTACATCCTGTGGAATGAATATCAATGTGTCCTAGTCAACCTCCCAAGAAGTATCATAGATCAAATACTATTTATGTTATATGATACCTTTCTCCTCTCTATTAGGTAAGAGACATGATCAGATGTAGACATATTGTGCTTTTAATGGGCTTCAGTTTGTTTTAGCTATATATTTCATCAATCCTGCCCAGATACAGGGATTGTATTGTCTGTAGGCTAAAAATGTGCATATATCTATAGATATGATCAAGCTAGCTAAACTGTAACACTTTCCTTTTCAAAGTAAATGATCAGATGCATTGAAATTTCTTACCTGAAATTGACTAATCACTATATCTAAAAAGTAGCAAAATGCAATGAAACTTATTGATTGATTGACTTTGTTACAGACCTGTTGTTTTATTGATTGACTTTGTTACAGACCTGTTGTTTTATTGATTGACTTTGTTACAGACCTGTTGTTTTATTGATTGACTTTGTTACAGACCTGTTGTTTTATTGATTGACTTTGTTACAGACCTGTTGTTTTATTGATTGACTTTGTTACAGACCTGTTGTTTTATTGATTGACTTTGTTACAGACCTGTTGTTTTATTGATTGACTTGTTGTTTTATTGATTGACTTTGTTACATTGATTGACTTTGTTACAGACCTGTTGTTTTATTGATTGACTTTGTTACAGACCTGTTGTTTTATTGATTGACTTTGTTACAGACCTGTTGTTTTATTGATTGACTTTGTTACAGACCTGTTGTTTTATTGATTGACTTTGTTACAGACCTGTTGTTTTATTGATTGATTGACTTTGTTACAGACCTGTTGTTTTATTGATTGACTTTGTTACAGACCTGTTGTTTTATTGATTGACTTTGTTACAGACCTGTTGTTTTATTGATTGACTTTGTTACAGACCTGTTGTTTTATTGATTGACTTTGTTACAGACCTGTTGTTTTATTGATTGACTTTGTTACAGACCTGTTGTTTTATTGATTGACTTTGTTACAGACCTGTTGTTTTATTGATTGACTTTGTTACAGACCTGTTGTTTTATTGATTGACTTTGTTACAGACCTGTTGTTTTATTGATTGACTTTGTTACAGACCTGTTGTTTTATTGATTGACTTTGTTACAGACCTGTTGTTTTATTGATTGACTTTGTTACAGACCTGTTGTTTTATTGATTGACTTTGTTACAGACCTGTTGTATTATTGATTGACTTTGTTACAGACCTGTTGTTTTATTGATTGACTTTGTTACAGACCTGTTGTTTTATTGATTGACTTTGTTACAGACCTGTTGTTTTATTGATTGACTTTGTTACAGACCTGTTGTTTTATTGATTGACTTTGTTACAGACCTGTTGTTTTATTGATTGACTTTGTTACAGACCTGTTGTTTTATTGATTGACTTTGTTACAGACCTGTTGTTTTATTGATTGACTTTGTTATGGCCCCAGTCGTTTGGTTGATCAGTTTAATTAAAGGTCCAACAATATTATAAGAGTGCCTTATATAAGTTTTTGTGTCAAGTCCTCATTACTCTTTACAAATATTCATCAAACAACGATCATTCATATAGATCCAACAGACATTTTATGGTTTGGATCATTTTAACTGACTGCTCATGTTTTACAGGGCATCCTGGGAAGTGTCCACAGTGGAAAGTCCGCTCTAGTCCATCGCTATCTTACAGGATCTTACATGCAGGAGGAATCACCAGAAGGTTTGTCCAGTTTACCATTCACCTCAGAATAAAAAGAGGAGCGTGCATGTTATAAGATGTGATGGCCAATATTTACCATTATATACAGCAACATATAGTAATATAAATAGAATTGCTCTATGTTATACCTGTCAAACCATTAAAGGATGTTAAAGTCCTAAAACTCATACTGACATCGTGAAATCATAAAAACAACCAATCACACATTTTTTGCACATTTTCTCTGTACTTATATATTGTAGTGTTAATGTCATTCAGTTTATCTATCGAAACATATTCTGTTTAATTCTGCAAAGTATTTAGATCTTAAACTTTGAATAACAGTTACATTTTTACTCTACACATTAAAAAAACCTATACAAGGCAGCAAATACAAATCAGTGATATAGAACAGTAACATTCAAAGATTTACATAATGATAGACTGTACTTAGAAAAAACCAAAGTCTCAAGCCAATAAATGAGAATGCCATGCATTATTTAGATGTTGGGGAACTACATATACCCTTCACATCATGAATTTTTTGTGCTTAATAGATTATTGGGATCTAAATTCAGTGTATTAGAGTGCCAACTCAAACCCAGTAGGTATAATTAACAGATTTTATAGACCAGAAAATGAAAGATCAATATTAACCTCATGTTTGGTTCCTCCAAAATACACGCCAATCACAAGGCCTGTTACAAAATTGGAGAAGTTGACAGGGCTTAAGTGGGAGAAGCTTGTTAGATACATCTGGTATTGAAATGAAATAAAGCAGCTGTTTGCCAAGTTATTGTAGTTAAGTTCTTCAAAAGAATTTGGTCTAAATGACACCTGAGCATCTCATCAGAAAGTGTTTACAGGAAGGACATGGATGAGGACTAGGTTGTTACAATATTGATATGGACGTTGATGTGTTGTGAATCATTACTACCTCCGCAATTGCCTTCATAGATGAAGGTCACTTTGAATTTTGAATTTCAAAAAAATATTTGGTTTAGAGTAAAACTTGCTCAATGATATAAAAATTAGATTTTCAAAAGTGGTAAAAAAAGCAAAAAGCTTTCAACGCAATAAATTCATATAAGCTGAACTGTGGAACATTTACAGCCGGAGATTTATAAAAAGTAAACTGTGTGTAAACGATTGCAGACACAGATGTAGTATGTGCTGGTTCCTTTAGCATATCAACTTGTGCTCTGCCTGAAAACTAACAAACATCCACTGCAGAAAATCGGAAACTTTTATCATTTTGAGATTCTTAATGAACAAAACAAATCAGTAATGTATCACATGTAGAAGAATTCTTTTGAAGGACTCTATGATTAAGATATGGTTTACTCAATATTTTCACCACACTTCTTGGCATTGCTGTATGATCTTGATAAAAAAAAAGTAATTGCTAGATAAGGATGTAAATTTAACTTCTCCTTTTGAAATTTAATGACACGATGAGTTCATGTATTGATAGAGTGCCAACTGTCTGTTGAGAAACGGAAGGCAGACAGGAATTTCTGACTTATAGTGTTGGATCTGGAATGTGTGTAACAATTAAAACTTTCACATTTACTTTTTTTTTTAAATATGTTAAATATACAATTTAGATTGAAATACTTTTTTGTAATGTATAAATGATAAAATTTTGTGTACATAAAATAGACCTGGGTACGAGTTACAAGTTAAAATACATTTGTAGTTTTGAGACCTGTTTGTTCTTATTTACTATGTAAATCAAAAAGAGATTTTTTTTATCTAAATGAGTTTTTAAATGAAATAAGCTGCTCACTTGATGATATTTAGCTAGATAATGTTGATAAATGTTTATAAGACTGGTATGTGTAAATCTGACACACAATCCATGGAAATGAGGCTAGCCACCTGCCTTTGACTGACAGAGCACCTGTCAGGGTAAAAAGTCTTGATAAAGCTAACAATACATGGTAATGTCCTGATGTAGAGTTTAATCAATCTTTCTGTACTGCAGGTGGTCGCTTCAAAAAGGAAGTCATCATTGATGGTCAGAGTTACCTCCTCCTGATAAGAGATGAAGGGGGTGCCCCAGAAATGCAGGTGAGAATATCAAATGTAACACATCCTACCAATCTAACTTCCCTCATCAGTGTTACTCTACCAATCTAACTTCCCTCATCACTGTTACTCTACCAATCTAACTTCCCTCATCAGTGTTACTCTACCAATCTAACTTCCCTCATCAGTGTTACTCTACCAATCTAACTTCCCTCATCAGTGTTACTCTACCAATCTAACTTCCCTCATCAGTGTTACTCTACCAATCTAACTTCCCTCATCAGTGTTACTCTACCAATCTAACTTCCCTCATCAGTGTTTCTCAACCAATCTAACTTCCCTCATCAGTGTTACTCTACCAATCTAACTTCCCTCATCAGTGTTACTCTACCAATCTAACTTCCCTCATCACTGTTACTCAACCAATCTAACTTCCCTCATCAGTGTTACTCAACCAATCTAACTTCCCTCATCAGTGTTACTCTACAGAAATGACAACCTGTATCAAGTATACACTTCCAAAATAACAACCCTCATTAAAGATAGTATGTTATGTCACTACCATCATATATAAAAAGTCCTATAGATGTATGTTATGTCACTCCCATCATATATAAAAAGTCCTATAGATGTATGTTATGTCACTCCCATCATATATAAAAAGTCCTATAGATGTATGTTATGTCACTGCCATCATTTATAAAATGTCCTATAGATAGTATGTTATGTCACTCCCATCATATATAAAAAGTCCTATAGATGTATGTTATGTCACTCCCATCATATATAAAAAGTCCTATAGATGTATGTTATGTCACTCCCATTATATATAAAAAGTCCTATAGATAGTGTTATGTCACTCCCATTATATATAAAATGTCCTATAGATGTATGTTATGTCACTCCCATTATATATAAAAAGTCCTATAGATGTATGTTATGTCACTCCCATCATATATAAAAAGTCCTATAGATGTATGTTATGTCACTCCCATTATATATAAAAAGTCCTATAGATAGTGTTATGTCACTCCCATTATATATAAAATGTCCTATAGATGTATGTTATGTCACTCACATCATATATAAAAAGTCCTATAGATGTATGTTATGTCACTGCCATCATTTATAAAATGTCCTATAGATAGTATGTTATGTCACTACCCATCATATATAAAAAGTCCTATAGATGTATGTTATGTCACTCCCATTATATATAAAAAGTCCTATAGATGTATGTTATGTCACTACCATCATATATAAAAAGTCCTATAGATAGTGTTATGTCACTACCATCATATATAAAAAGTCCTATAGATGTATGTTTTGTCACTACCATCATATATAAAAAGTCCTATAGATAGTGTTATGTCACTCCCATCATATATAAAAAGTCCTATAGATAGTGTTATGTCACTCCCATCATATATAAAAAGTCCTATAGATAGTGTTATGTCACTGCCATCATATATAAAAAGTCCTATAGATGTATGTTATGTCACTCCCATCATATATAAAAAGTCCTATAGATAGTGTTATGTCACTGCCATCATATATAAAAAGTCCTATAGACAGTATGTTATGTCACTACCATCATATATAAAAAGTCCTATAGATAGTGTTATGTCACTACCATCATATATAAAAAGTCCTATAGATGTATGTTTTGTCACTACCATCATATATAAAAAGTCCTATAGATAGTGTTATGTCACTACCATCATATATAAAGAGTCCTATAGATAGTGTTATGTCACTCCTATCATATATAAAAAGTCCTATAGATGTATGTTATGTCACTACCATCATATATAAAGAGTCCTATAGATAGTGTTATGTCACTCCTATCATATATAAAAAGTCCTATAGATAGTATACTATGTTATACAGCTATCTTTTGTTACTGATATTAAATTATTTGTGACTCAACAGTTCACGCAATGGGTGGATGCAGTTATCTTTGTGTTCAGTCTGGAGAATGAAATCAGTTTTCACACAGTGTATTCGTACTATGCCAAGATGGCCCACTATCGGAATGCTGCGGAGGTCCCACTTATCCTGGTTGGCACCCAAGGTAAGTGTTAGCAGAGTCACCAAAACCCACCAGACACTGATGCATGTTAAGTAAACAGATAGCAGATGGTTTCTGTGATATCAATCATCGGTCGTGGTAAAGAAGTTGTATTCTATTTGTGTGGCTGTTGGTCCACTTGAAGGACATGATTTTACCCACTCAGTGGCTCATCATTGTTTGTCTGATGGCTGTGTAAGAAAATTGATCTTACCAGTACTAGAGTTTTTTGTACTAATGCTAGAATGGTGTCTTTATAATGTTATTTGGTTGTACAAATTCTAATTTGTATTGAGAGGTGGTATTCACTTGTGTCTTTTGTACAATCTTTAATCAAGTGTTATCTTCCAAGAACAGGACATCATTTTACCAAAGACACCAGTCACCCCAGACATCCATCCCCCAAAGACACCAGTCACCCCAGACATCCATCCCCCAAAGACACCGTTCTCCCCAGACATCCATTCCCCCAAAGACACTGTTCTCCCCAGATATCCATTCCCCCAAAGACACTGTTCTCCCCAGACATCCATTCCCCCAAAGACACTGTTCTCCCCAGACATCCATTCCCCCAAAGACACTGTTCTCCCCAGACACTGTTCTCCCCAGACATCCATCCCCCAAAGACACCATTAACCCATGATATCAACCTCCCAAGACACCAGTCACCCCAGACATCCATCTCCAAAGACACCGTTCTCCCCAGATATCCATCCCCCAAAGACACCATTCTCCCCAGATATCCTTCCCCAGATATCCATCCCCCAAAGACACCATTAACCCATGACATCAACCTCCCAAGACACCAGTCACTCCAGACATCCATCCCCCAAAGACACCATTCTCCCCAGACATCCACCTCCCAAAGACACCATTCTCCCCAGACATCCACCTCCCAAGACACCATTCTCCCCAGACATCCACCTCCCAAAGACACCATTCTCCCCAGACATCCACCTCCCAAGACACCATTCTCCCCAGACATCCACCTCCCAAGACACCATTCTCCCCAGACATCCACCTCCCAAGACACCATTCTCCCCAGACATCCACCTCCCAAAGACACCATGCTCCCCAAGGCACGATCCTCCCTAAAGCACAATCCTCCCTGAGATACTGTTCCTCTAAGCCAACAGCCTCCCAAGCTGCCTTCCACTCAAGACACTTTGAGGCTACACAAAGAGAAGCAAAATATTGTCAAGATACCACCCCTTCTATACAAATTCCTCCCAATGACAAAATCCATCTATTACCACATACTTACCAAAAAAGTCACTGTCTTCCAGTACTGTTAATCAGCTAGTAAAGGATATTATGACCAGTAGCTATGGCGATAAGTTGATCTGGCAAACTACAAGATTTGACTAGAATCAATAGAAGCTGGTACAGGCTGTAGAACTCTGGAGTTAACTTGACTACATAACCATATAAGGAGGTAGTTTCGTAATTGTTGTACAAGTAGATGGTATTGTTGGTGATTATTTCCTGTGATAGGTCATGAAGCTTGTCCTTTACTATTCATTTTTATACCGTACGTTGTGAAGATGAATTAGCTGCTATAAGTTTGTCTATAAAGTGTTTTCTTCATTTATTTGTGAGTTTCTCTACGTCTACAGAATTAGTTCACCTCTAGGTGTTAATGAAGAATGTAGAAAGTCTGTTAAATGTGAATACAGAAAGTCTGTTAAATGTATCACCTCATTCTGTTGTAATTTTTCCCAGAACGAAGCATTTTGTTAAGACAAGATGTGATGATGTTGTGTAGTAAATGTGGACTGTGTGTGAACTAGACTATAATCAGTACATAGTGGGAGAGATAGAATTACTATAGGTGGCGTCCATGTTACGGTTCACAACAGTTTCAAGTATCCAATATCTCTACACACACAGAATCAAAATTAGCCAGTGAGCCAATAATCATTTTAACCCACTTTGAAAGAAACTGGGGTGAAGCTAGAAAATTCAACAAATTGTGAGAGAGGTAAATACATTTTGCCAACTGTCCTGCAGCTGCCTGCACTGGCACAGTAGGACAGTTTTATCCCAAGTTCTTCCATGTGTACAACCCACACTTATCAGTTCGCTAATCTCTGAAAATGAAGTTTTCATCTGCCCGACCTAGGCTGTGTTGTGATGTTTCAGTTTGGATATATTACTACAGAGAAATATTTAAATGATATGGAGGTTTAGTAAACCAATCACGTCAGGATTTTATAAATCTGAAGTGTCCGAGTTCTATGGAGTAAGCTGTTGTGTATTACTTAATTGTTTGAGATGTGAAGGGTAAGTTGTGTACTTAAGGAAATGTCACTGTTCTGTCTTGTAAATTATATACCGTTTGGAAGATATTTTATTTAAATCAAATTATTTCAATACCAGTTTGTTCGCGAAGTGTGTGATATTAAAATTTTTGATTTGATTCTAGATATTGAAATTTTTTATTTGATTCCTCTGCCAAGAAGTTACTCTGGTGATTCATGGCCATCTTCAGAATGTAGGTTTAGCTGTGAGATTTTTTATTCCTGCATTCCTTGCTATTCTGTTTTTACAGTCAACGCAGCATTATTGGGACTTGATAATTGGATTTTGTATGGATTTATAAAAAATCAGTTTTTAAAAGTATTTCCAAAATACACAAGCATGGCATCCGAAGCATTAAATTTCAATTAGCTTTGCTTATCTCCTGAATAAAAAACTACGTTGGCAGTAGTGAGCTTGGAAATGTATGGGAGTTACAGATAAATGTATACAGTTAAACTCATAGCATGTTGATATTGAACATTACAGTAAATGTTCTCTTATTTTGATCATTTTAACAACAGGAATATTCAAGGATTCAATAAGACAGCTATAAAATAGCCAGTCTTTCCAGTCTTCATAATTTTATAGTGTATATTACTTGTAAAATATGAAGAACAGTTATGAAGCTCTTTTTATACAAACTGGCTGATTGCGATAACTCTGTTAAGGTGTCCTTGACCGGCAATTCATGTGTCTATGAACCTCAATACTATCCACAGTTCAGGTGTCCATGAACCTCACTACTACATCCACAGTTCAGGTGTCCTTGACCCACAGTTCATGTGTCCATGAATTTCACTGCTATATCCACAGTTCAGGTGTCCTTGACCCTGAGTTCATGTGTCCATGATCTTCACTACTACATCCACAGTTCAGGTGTCCTTGACCCACAGTTCATGTGTCCATGAACCTCACTACTATATCCACAGTTCAGGTGTCCTTGACCCACAGTTCATGTGTCCATGAACCTCACTACTACATCCACAGTACAGGTGTCCTTGACCCGGAGTTCATGTGTCCATGAACTTCACTACTACATCCACAGTACAGGTGTACTTGACCCAGAGTTCATGTGTCCATGAACTTCACTACTACATCCACAGTACAGTTGTACTTGACCCACAGTTCATGTGTCCATGAACTTCACTACTACATCCACAGTACAGGTGTACTTGACCCACAGTTCATGTGTCCATGAACCTCACTACTACATCCACAGTACAGGTGTACTTGATCTTGAATACTCCAGACAGTATGGGTTTCTTCTGTCAATAAATAGATGAAAAATTGGAAAGAAATAAAGTTCCTTGTTTGTAATTCCTGACATACAGCGTTAGAGGTATACTTGAGATTGACGTACTGGGCACCTGTGCCAAGTGAGCTGACCTGTGATAAGGGAAACATTATACATTGTGACTGGTACCTGACAGATTAAATCTGTTTATCAGTTCTATAGTTGTAAATATAATCTTATTATAGGTTTATCATTTATTTGTCTGTACTGATCATGATCTGCTATGTAAAAGTTGCCAAGTACAAGAGTTCTATTTGGGAACACTAACATGTAGGTCAGAAGAGTTGGCACCCAAGAACATTCTCTTCAAAATTGTTCAATAAATAGTACAATTCTGTACATTTGAACAGGTCTGAAAGCATTCTGTGTTCTTTCTTTTGAAAATTACTGCTTTTAGATAAATTATCTTCTGTAGGGTGATATATTTTATTTATTCACTAAGCTATTTTGAAATGTGCATCGAAGGTGTTAACCTCGACTAACATGCTTCCTGTATACGTAGACAAATGTATGTGTGTAATGGATTATGCCTCAAATAAATTCTGTGATAAAACAACAAGGTGATTCACACTTGAGAGATTTTTAAGAAAAGAGAAAGTGTCATGAATATAGTTTTGTATTTCTTGGCATTTAACAGTAACAATGTATCGTGATATTCCATAGTTGATTATGAAAACTTGGATTTGAAAACATAATTATTTGCGATGCTTTTTACCTTTCAGATTCTATAAGTGAAAGCAATCCTCGTGTGATTGATGATACCAGAGCCAGAAAACTTGCAAACGATCTCAAAAGGTCCTCATACTACGAAACCTGTGCCACATATGGACTCAATGTGGAGCGGGTGTTTCAGGATGGTATTCAATAAATTCTAATAAAACTTTCATTGAATTGGGAAAATACTGTAAAAACTAGTAAATAAAAGACCATACATTGATAAAAATATACCTAATTCATCAAAGTTTTCTTGTTAAACTGTGAACACACTTCATTTATTTGTTAATCCTTGATGTTAATCCTTCAAAATACAACCTTTGGAAATTAATGGTGTACACCCTAAGACAAGTAGCTTATGTGATTGAATACATCAGAGTAACTCCCCTTTATCATTGAATTATACATAACTATCAAGGCACCTTTACTCACAGATCTAAATGGCTATAAATATTGTGAGTGAATTTTCATTTTGATAAAAAAAAAACTGCAGCCAAATCAAGACAAAATAATTACTTAATAGACTTGATTTAGCTAATATTCTGAAGTTTTTGAATCAACATTTAGTATTTAAAGCTCTGTTTTATTAAGCTACTATGTCATCATATGTTAGCAACAAAGGAGTGTTAAGTGTTGAAGTTAGTCTCTAAAACAAAGGTGTCTTACAGCTTAGGAAATAAAGCATTGAAAGTTTGTGTAAGTTTGTCTCTTACAATATGGGAAATATAATATTGCACTTTGGTTTAGTCAATATCTAGGCTACAGCTCTGTAAATATAATATTGGAAGTTTGTCTCAGTCAGTCTCTAGTTTGCAGCTGCGTAATTATAATATAGGAAGTTTGGTTAAGTTGTACGCTTGATTATAGCTCCAGAATTATAAAGTAGGAAGTTTGCTTGTAGCGTTTTGTCTATGGTGAATTAAAGACTGATATTTTAATTGTGTTCCTGTTTCAGCATGTCAGAAGATAGTGCAGACACGTTACCCTTCTATACCACTATCAGTGCAGAATGTGCCCAGCACACCAGTCCATGCCCAGCGCCACTTCTTTATCACACAGGCCGTGCCCTCTAAACCTTACGACACCCATAGTACTAGCAGTCAATCTACGTCCAGCTCTGGCACGCTGGTGACGGGAACCACCAACAACACTTCAGGACAACAGAGTGTGGCACAGGTGATATCTCACCTCACACATATTAACATACATAGACCCTGGAACGATCTTTTGTGATCAAACACAATTTATATAATACTGGAGGTCTCCTTTTCATCTTTCTGAAATATTTATAAATAAATGTCAGCTACTGACACATAAATCTTTAAAAAAAAATTCATGAAAAGTGTGAATATTTGGCATGTTATTGGATGGAACCTCAAAACAACATGAGCAAGATATATATATTTACACATATATTCTCACTAAGCAAATAGAGAAAGTGGCGTGAGTGACATCCTCAGAATGCCTGAGGTTGTGATTATAAACTGGGCATGTAGTCCATGGATTTCAAAGATGATATTGTAATAAAGTCCTGATTAACTGCTTATTAAGCAGGTATCTGTTTTTTCTTCAACTAGTAAGGTGTGCTATGGGAAATGCTATATTTTTAATCAAGTCTGATATAATCTGCTTTTCTAACAGCAATTTTCAGAGCTGTTGTTATATTTTCCATATGAGCCAACATGCTTAAATTTTATTCTAATTTGAAGAATATATAACCCATTTTCTGATAAAGAGGTAATTGTATCTGTTATATGATATTTAGTTACAACAGCGTCATGGTAACTTACAGCTTTAATGCTTCAGTTAGGAATGTTTTGTCACACTGTAAATAAATTATTATAATAACAAAATATATAACTTTCAAAGGTCCAGCCAACGATGAAGGATGGTAAAGAAGGACAGGGCACCAAAGAGAAGGAGAAATCTGAAAAGAAGAAAGACAAACAGCAACAACAGATGCTCACAGAATCTCAAGAACAGGTATGTGGAATGATCGGAACTCTCCTTTAATGGAGGTTAATTAAGTATATACTGATACATAAATTCTGTTTACAGGTTGCACTCCAGTAATTCTTTGTTTCTATTTGTTAGGAAAATACTAAGTAACAATGAAATAGGATCACATGGCAAATTCAATACACCTGATATTAATAAAAATAACCTTTCTCACAAATTAAATCCACAACTTTTCCCTTCAATGTTTAGAACTAATTGAATAATAAGCTTTGAGCGTTTACATTAGGGTGGATTAGTAGCCACTAATGGTTTGATCACATACTTACCAAGCTTACATTGGTGTGTGCTTCCACCAGGCATGGAGTGGTTACTATGGACATTGTTCAGTTACTATGGAGATTGCTTACTTGTGCACCCTGGTTGCGGTTTCTCCAATCTTGACTGCACTTCAGCAAAAAAAGAAAAAAGATACATATTTCCAGTCCTAGTCATTTTTTTGTAATATCAACAGTATAAAGATATGAAAATGAGAAAAAAAAATTTTGGAAAAATTTTATTTTTATTCAAATAAGATAAAGGGATAGTTAAGAAATAATTATTTATTGAGTAAATGTAGATTTTTGATTAATGAGGCTGTAAAGGTATGTGAATAGTTTTGAAAAGTTAAGAATAGGGATTTGCTTACGGGATTGGTGTGAATAGGGTTCTTTATATAGTGATTTGGTGTTGTAGTCAGCTTTGCGATCAGCTTGTCAGTGTTATGCTTTCTTGTAAAGTTTGTATTATCAAATATCTTGAAGCTAAACATTCACCATTGAATCATCTTTTTTTGTGTCCCCTGATTGAAAGCCTACAATAATTATTCTTTTTTACCAGCTTTGACTAAATTTTGTACTTTTTAAATTATGGTCCTTAAGTCTACATTGATGCTTTTATCCAGATTCCTGATTAACACATCATCAACCTATTAACAGGATCAATGTGTTCATATGTTGTAATCAAATCATTTACATTACTCCTGAGCTATCCAGGTTTACCTCTAACAGTGAATTCAGAAATATATTCAGGCATTTGTTCCGTTTCCTACTGATATGAGCCGTTGTCGTAGCCTTCCGTTTAAAACTGTTCTGTGAAAGATCTTGGTTTTACAAAATTATTTCTTACGAGAAAAAACTTAACTGTTTTAAAGTCATAACAGCTGCATATCTTTTCTTGTTTTTTTTTTTTATCAATAAAATACATAAAAAGGTTCCTTTTGCAATGAAAGATTTGTTTTGTTAATGTTTATTTGTACAACACTTTGATACAATTACAATTGTTCTTTCTGTCTCGTGCTTGGATTTCAATCATTGGAAATTGTAATCAGGCATATTGACGATGAGTATATCATGAAAAATTAATAGAAAAATGAGAATGGAAAAACTAAATCTTTCTTAGGTGTGGAAATCTATTTATTCGTTAAGCAAGGATTTCGTAGCATTATTTATTTACAGTGTATTTTTTTTAGCTGTAATGTTCTGAAGAAATCTTACTATCTTTGTCTGATGTGAAACCTCAATAAATTTTATCCTGTATACTACATTTGTGGCCCTCTACATCACTGCGTAGTGGTCCTTATAATGGTAACTTTAGTAAGAGCCGTTTGTAAATTTTCATTTTTGCCAAATTTCTCCCCATAATATCTGATTTCCTTACCACTTGAATCTTGGACAGGACTTTGCAGAGCTGATATACATCTTTTTTGAGAAACATTAAGAAATTGGCAAAAGAATGTATCAGATATTAAAAGAATTTTTAAAAATTTTTAAGGATTTTTTTTTTTTTTTAAGATAAGTTTTATTGTTTGATTTCATTGTTTTTACTTTTTGATGTTGAACACGATGTTGTAATGCTTGGATCATCCCTGTATACTCATCAGATTGAAACAGTGTTGGTACTGATGCTGGTAGAGTATTAGGGCTGACTTGGTCATGACATGGCTCTTTATTAATGTCTATCCTTTGTTGTGTATATATATACAGTGAATGACTGGTCTAGTTCATGGACATAAAAACTTCGATGACACACTGGCAGCTGCACTTGCTGTATATGCTATAAATTTTGATATAAATCTCTTTGAGGAATGTTTTGTTTTTTTTAATACACAAATAAGAACATCTGTTTTGAATAAACATTTCAAATTAAGATATATGTTTTCATAAAAAATGAGCTGTGGTTAATTTGTTGACAAGTTTAAATCCGGTTATATTTTATAGATATGGCTATCATATTACCACCAACAGTTATTCACTGTATTTGATGGAGGCAATCAGAAGTACTAATGCATGTTGCATGCTGTGTATGGTTTTTCTTTTTGTCTTTTTCATTGTAGGAAGAGGATCGTGTGGACTTTAACGATATTCCCCCTTCTACACCCCTGTCATCTCGTAAAAACAAGAAATCCTCAATCATACAGAAGTCTAACTCCTTCAGCGTAAGTTCTTGTTTCTTGCTCTGCCTTGAGAGTAAAAGGGTGCTACTTTCATTTTCCATTCATTTTGCATTGGATACCAACTTGTGAACATGGCTGCCTTGACCCACCTTCATCATGGCAGCTAGACTTACATAAGGTCATACATATGTCATCAACTACCCCTCTTTGAGGGATCTACAACCATTTGTTTCAGCCAATTCTTCATTATGTAAGGCAGTTACACCTGAAGAATCAGGTTGTGACTGCAGTTCTTGTCGACGTTTCATTCAGTTGATCTTTTTTTCTACTGTACTATCACATTTTATCCAGCAAGGTGAAATGATAGATAAACTATTTTTTCATGAAAAGTAGTTTCAAATCCAATTACACAGGAAGTAACCAGCAGAAAATCAAACCAGTTATGTTTGGGGATGACTGTGAATTAGGTAAAAAAAAAAAATGGTCACATTTGTTTTCAATAATGAATTAATTTATGCAATGATACACAGAATATATTTTGTTTTTATAACATATTTGCTGTGAGATCTGTATTTAGGGTGTCATATTAATGTTATGTTTTTGTATAATTTTTTTTTCAATTATTGAGGAAGCATTTTAAGTTATTGATAGTAATGCTTTGATGAGACTGACCTAACTATATTTGATAGACTTATCCAGTGTATAAGGGCAATTTTATGGTGAAGGCTATATAACTCTCTTGCATTTTTTCCTCTCTATGCGTATTGTTTACTCCACAATTTGGTCATGCCTTACATTTGATGTTTTATAAATTCTTGAGTATCACTCATATTATGTACCCTTATTAAGTCACCATATTATCCTTTCCTTAATTTTACAAACATCGTTCAGCAAATATAAACCAATATCAGTAATACACTAATCTATTATTACACATATATCTTGCTAGGCATAAATTGGGAGACTGATAACCCATTACACCATTATCAATATACTTTCATCTATAGCTTGCGTATACAGTCTTTTCTCCATATCTGAGTGTGCGTTTAGCTTATAATTTTTCACTGAGCCAATCTAATCATTGACAATTATAACAAGTCTCTCATAATGCAATAGAACTTGTCCTCTTCTCCGGATCCATAGCCATAAATATTTTTCTAAAAAATCAAATGATATCTACAACATCCGTGACTAGGTATGACATTAATTTTATGATGTTGCTGTAAGCATTTAGTTTTTTGAGATGAACTTGGCACAAAGAGATTAATCAATTCTGTGTTTAAGCCTTAGAAAATGAACATTTAAAGTGGTGCTGAGAAATCTTTGTCTACGAGATTTATTTATGTCATAGATTATTAGTTGGAAATTTTTATATAAACAATAGAATGTGTCTACAGTAAGATTTTTTTGGTCCTTAGTGAAAGTGTTATAATTCTCTGTTGTTTTGTTTTTTTATTGACCTTTTGTTTCAGTTCTGTTTACAAAGCACTGTCATGCTACTGTGTAGAAGTCTGGCTATGAATTGTGCATGTTCCAGGCCTGGTACACAAGTTCAATAACATAACACATCTCAGGACATACAGGTTTTCATTGATATCAACAGAGCACTGTCATCAATTTTCTGTTGTAGACAGCAAACACAGAACAATTACTCTCATAAGAGAGAGTTCTTATAACCAAAATCTTCTCTGATTGTCTATGTAATGCAAATAATTTTCACTGTATATTGAAAATTCTGTGATGTTTATTGTCAATCTGTATGTGTGAGATATGCAAGTGATGTTTGTATAACATATTATATTTGTGGACTGCTTAGATATTTTATGTAGTTGAGGATGGCCTGTGCTATATTGTATGGTATTCAGTGTTCTCTAGATTCAGGCTGCTTTCTTATACAAACTAATGTTGGCATGGTAATGTGCAGCATTGTATCATTTTGATTGGCTATTTGCATGATTCATTTCAGTTCTGCAGCTAATATCATTGACAGATTTCATTGGTCTAAATCAATAAAGTGATAATAGAAACATATCCTACAGTATAAACAGTGTATGTAATAAACCTCCTATATCAACCCTACAAAACACAACAACATGATACAGCGCATAGACATTTAACTAAGACCTTAAACCTGAAACACAGCTTGATGACACTGGGGCTGTACACAGCCAGCTGATGATCAACACCCACACAGACTACTCATGCTTGTGTCTAACATCAATGGACGTCTAAATGCTTATGTGCTGATATATGTCTTGGAACACTGAATTCCTCATACTCTGTATTGTGGTACACAGAATCTATTTCCTAATGTTAAAGTTTAATCATTTCAAAACAATTTCATCATTGCTGATAAAAAAAAATTTCTTTTTCAAATAAATTCATTTCAATACCGTATTTCCACTGAGTGAAGGGACAGATGTAAATTAACTATCGGTGAATATGGTAAAGCTGCAGAGTAGTTTTTCCTGTTTTCAAACATTAGGACTAGAATGAAATGTGTGCCACCTACAGAAATGTCTACCTGTGTTACATATGATTTAGATGATTATGTTTTAGTTTCATCACAGATTCATTTTATTTGCGCCGTTTTATGATTTCTGCATGTCGTTTTGGCTTGTTTCCTATTTACAGGGACCAGTTGATAGACTGTTTTCTTCTCATCCGGTATCCACACCGATTCTCAGTCGGAAAAATTCAAAGTTTCTCAAAAACACCTTTCTAACTGTAAGTTTTGTGAAAACAGTGTCAACACTAGGAGGGTGTTGTACATTTATATAATCCCATATATCAAGTGTTATATATTTGTTGTATTTATCTAGTTTACCTTAGTAACCTGTTGTAAGGGCCATGTTTGAGGTACATTTTAAAGTCAATACTCACTTTTGATTACATCTATGGTTTTATTGCAGCATGTGTTAAAGATGATTATTAATGATTCAAGTTATACATTTTGTGAAAATAGAAGGAAAATTGTAACAGACTATTTTTTTTGTATTGACTTCAAAAAGTATCTCAAATATGAATGTATTTGTCTGCTAAACAACCTAATTTGTTTATAATACCCACAAGCTTGTACTAACTAGAACCGATTTTTTCAGGATTATAATTGTCTAATCATGCTCAGTTTCAGACCTTTCATGAATTCTGATCAATTAAAAATCACATGTCATATGTTAAAGAATTTGGATTAATAATTAAGTTTTTCTGACATAAATGTAATTTCAAACATGATTTGACAATATTTTTTTAACGCAGGTCGTGTATGAACATAAACAGTCTTTGTTTAGATGTGAATATTGTCTTGATTTTTTAACTGAGATTTTGTTTTGAATTAATGTTCGTTTTCTGTAACAGAATCAGACTGTAGGCTGTAGATGTTTTCCTAGAACTAGAACTTCTCTCAACTATTAGCAGAATTTCCATGTACTGAAACTTTGATACTTACATAGCTTTTCTTCTATACAGTAGAGGCTGCTTGTGACAATTTAGCAACATGTAACAGCTTCATAATCTATCCCGTATGTGACGAAAATGTAACGGAAAATAAATACAAATATATATGTGCCATGTGCATAAACAAAATGTATTTAGGGCTTTACTGAACATCCCCAAAATAAACAGAAATTTAAGCTATATTAGCAAGGTCAGGTATAACTAAATACCTTTAAAAATTTTGTTAAATGAACATGAAATGAATAAGTGTTAATGAAGGATAAATACTTACCATAACCTCGTTCTGATATTTTCTTTCAATCAATTTTAATATTTCATTGGTTTGCTGGTAGTAGAGTGACAGATGTTGTATAAGAAAATGCCAGGTCTGATGTGATGTGGTCTGATGTGATTTAAAAAGCATTGATGCAGGGATTTCAATAAATTAATTGACGTTTATAGTGCTAATCACAAACATATATAGTGTATGTGTATACTAGTACAAATGCATGTTAGTGCAAACCATGTGTATAGATAAACAGCCAAACCTACCTTTCTTACCTCTCTATAGCAACCACCTGTGTATAATAATGTTTCTGAATATTCTCTTAGTATTTTTTAGTTGTCTCTAAAGCTGTCTCTAAAGACTTTTAAGACAATTGCTGGTTTTCTGCTATGGATAATTATGGAGGTCAGGTTTGACTGTATCACCTTGGAAACAGTATTAGTCATAGATATGTAAGATCAACGTAGGTGGAGATAACTCTAGTTTGTCCCAACAGCCAGTCCACAAAGCCGTGGTAGAAATGTAGGGTCAGGAATCTTATCCATTTACAAACAAGCCTGTGTTTGAATTCTTTAGATCTACCTCTGTCATTAATGATTTAACATATAAATTTTGTTGTTTTTTAAAGTTAAAAATTATGAAAAAGATCTGTTTTTAAGGTAACCCAAACACTATAGTTTATATCTTGGTGTTTTGTGTTGCAGCATGATCTAACCATGACTAAGCTACTATAAGGTGCTCCTGCATCACTCATTTCACCCATGACATATTCAAGGTCACTTTCACAGTTGTTTCTACTATAGTCAGTCATCTATCACAGCATCATATATTGGTTAATATGTTACTGATAGAGTCAGTCATCCGTCACTACATCCTGTACCTGTTAATATGTTAATGATAGAGTCAGTCATCCATCACTACATCCTGTACCTGTTAATATGTTACTGATAGAGTCAGTCATCCGTCACCATATCCTGTACCTGTTAATATATGTTACTGATAGAGTCAGTCATCCGTCACAACATCCTGTACCTGTTATTATGTTAATGATAGAGTCAGTCATCCGTCACGATGTCCTGTACCTGTTAATATGTTACTGATAGAGTCAGTCATCCGTCACGATGTCCTGTACCTGTTAATATGTTAATGATAGAGTCAGTCATCCGTCACGATGTCCTGTACCTGTTAATATGTTACTGATAGAGTCAGTCATCCGTCACCATATCCTGTACCTGTTAATATGTTACTGATAGAGTCAGTCATCCGTCACTACATCCTGTACCTGTTAATATGTTACTGATAGAGTCAGTCATCCGTCACCATATCCTGTACCTGTTAATATGTTACTGATAGAGTCAGTCATCCGTCACGATGTCCTGTACCTGTTAATATGTTACTGATAGAGTCAGTCATCCGTCACTACATCCTGTACCTGTTATTATGTTAATGATAGAGTCAGTCATCCGTCACGATGTCCTGTACCTGTTAATATGTTAATGATAGAGTCAGTCATCCGTCACCATATCCTGTACCTGTTAATATGTTACTGATAGAGTCCATCATCCGTCACTACATCCTGTACCTGTTATTATGTTAATGATAGAGTCAGTCATCCGTCACGATGTCCTGTACCTGTTAATATGTTACTGATAGAGTCAGTCATCCGTCACCATATCCTGTACCTGTTAATATGTTACTGATAGAGTCAGTCATCCGTCACTACATCCTGTACCTGTTAATATGTTACTGATAGAGTCCATCATCCGTCACGACATCCTGTACCTGTTAATATGTTACTGATAGAGTCAGTCATCCGTCACCATATCCTGTACCTGTTAATATGTTACTGATAGAGTCAGTCATCCGTCACCATATCCTGTACCTGTTAATATGTTACTGATAGAGTCAGTCATCCGTCACCATATCCTGTACCTGTTAATATGTTACTGATAGAGTCAGTCATCCGTCACTACATCCTGTACCTGTTAATATGTTAATGATAGAGTCAGTCATCCGTCACTGCATCCTGTACCTGTTAATATGTTAATGATAGAGTCAGTCATCCGTCACTGCATCCTGTACCTGTTAATATGTTACTGATAGAGTCAGTCATCCGTCACTACATCCTGTACCTGTTAATATGTTACTGATAGAGTCAGTCATCCGTCACTACATCCTGTACCTGTTAATATGTTACTGATAGAGTCAGTCATCCGTCACTACATCCTGTACCTGTTAATATGTTACTGATAGAGTCAGTCATCCGTCACGACATCCTGTACCTGTTAATATGTTAATGATAGAGTCAGTCATCCGACACGATGTCCTGTACCTGTCATTATGTTAATGATAGAGTCAGTCATCCGTCACGACATCCTGTACCTGTTAATATGTTACTGATAGAGTCAGTCATCCGTCACGATGTCCTGTACCTGTTAATATGTTACTGATAGAGTCAGTCATCCGTCACCATATCCTGTACCTGTTAATATGTTACTGATAGAGTCAGTCATCCGTCACCATATCCTGTACCTGTTAATATGTTACTGATAGAGTCAGTCATCCGTCACCATATCCTGTACCTGTTAATATGTTACTGATAGAGTCAGTCATCCGTCACGATGTCCTGTACCTGTTAATATGTTACTGATAGAGTCAGTCATCCGTCACGATGTCCTGTACCTGTTAATATGTTACTGATAGAGTCAGTCATCCGTCACCATATCCTGTACCTGTTAATATGTTACTGATAGAGTCAGTCATCCGTCACCATATCCTGTACCTGTTAATATGTTACTGATAGAGTCAGTCATCCGTCACTACATCCTGTACCTGTTATTATGTTAATGATAGAGTCAGTCATCCGTCACGATGTCCTGTACCTGTTAATATGTTACTGATAGAGTCAGTCATCCGTCACTACATCCCGTACCTGTTATTATGTTAATGATAGAGTCAGTCATCCGTCACGATGTCCTGTACCTGTTAATATGTTACTGTAAATAATTCTTTTTACTTTTTGAGAAATATTAAGTAAGATAAAGAAAAAAAATGGACAATTTATGCAATTAAAGCTCCGATTTGTTTAATCCTGTCAGTAAGTACAGGGAATTTAAACTCAAATGTGTTGGCTGCTGTCAGTAAAGACATTTTCAGTTCAACTCTGTTACACCCTGTCAGCACAAACTGTTTCAGTTCAAATCTGTTATATTTTGTCACTACAGGTGTTTCGTTTTTTTTAATCAGTCAGTACTGACATTTCTAGCTGTAATCTGTCTGATCTTGTCAGTACCAACAATTTTAGCTCCCGTCTGTTTAACCTCGTCATTACAGACAGATTTGGTTCCTATCAATTGAATAATGAAAGCTGTAGCATATATTGGATGTTCTGCAGATAGAGTTCTAACCTGTGTAATGTCTTTGAGTTTTTTGTTATATGACTTTATTTTTGCAATCCCAGATTGAGTAAGCAGATTTATCCTGGTATTTTAATGCTATTTAGAGCTGACTCTGTGACTCCTATGACCTGGGTTGCTGTCCATGTCTTAATAAGGTCAGCCCACCTGTATTGATTGCCTTGAATATTTTGGCAGGAAATGAAACCGACATATTTCCAAGTTTATTTTGTGTGTTTCTCCTTCACAGCCAGACATTCTGATGTCCCTATACTCAGACATTAAGGTATACAGGTTAATCCTAAGCTTTTGGTGTATCATGGTATTGTTGGAATACACTCAGTTTCTATTCCTATCTTTTATTTTGCTGTTGATAACCATTAGCTGTCTGTACATGGGTCCATCCCTCTTCTGAAGTTGTTGCTATCAATTGCTTTCATCATCGTCGTCATCATCATCGTTATCATCATTATCGTCATAATCATCATCATCATCATCATTATCATCCGTCGCGCCTATGGAATGGTGCTTTGATGAGTTTGTGGGAGTTTTGGTTTTGAATGCAGTATTTTGTGAAGTTAGTCACTAACATGTGATATGAGAAAGGGAACAGGAATCGTCTGGTTTAGTTATTTAATTATCGCTGTTATTATCTGGGTTGTAGATGTTCACATATTCTGCATCCATCATACCCCTGATTACACTACTTGTCTATGACATACATGTTTGACTGGAAATATATAGATGGATACCTACCCTGGTTTTGGTGTCACACAATCAAAACATTTCATATTTTGCTTCTGTAGTTGTTAATTGAAATTTCTTGTACATGTTTAAAATGTGTTAAATAAACTTCAATTCATGAATTGTAAGGAAAATTCAGAGATCAACAATAAGTAATTTCTTATTTCAAATCTTATTAAAATGTCCTCTATACAAAATATTTACATGTTAATGTGGATTTATGGTATTCAATTTTGTATTGAGTTAAACCAAATGAGAATTATTGTTTCTGCTTCAGCATCAAAGTCATTATTCTCTTCTATTGAATAAAATTCGTTAATATAATGCTGTTATGATATGGAAAGAAAATTTCTCAAAGTAAGTAAAAGACAACAAAAATCTATTGTAATTATTGAAAATTTATATATTTTCTTTTTTTCTCCGATGGATTGCGGTTGTGTAGGAGAAAATGGATAGATATAAGATGGAGTTACACATACACGACAATAGTCCTTTCACTCCGCTTCTCAATCGAATGACAAGGGTACGGTCAAGTCTTGTGCTCGTAAGTTATAATATCACAAAGCTGCCCGGACAAAATGGACATCTTTTGGGAGTGATGCTGGAATTGTCTCCCTTTATTGCCTTTGTTACCATCATTGTATGGCAGTTGTCTCTGCATGTCTTTTTTTGTTTTCCAGTTAATCTTTGTACATATACTGTATTTATCTTCCATGATTTCCACTACCAGCATTTCTTTCCTCTGCTGTTTTATTTGTTCTCAAGACACTCCTCACTCACCATATGTTTTATTTCTGACCAGATAATGTTGTAATTCCAAAATATCTCCTTTGAATGACCAAATTATCTCCCTTTGCTACCAACTTGATTTTGTCTGCATGTACCAGCTGCCTTTAGCTAGGTCAACTAAAGCTGCCAAACAGGACAAAGACATCACACACTTTTCTATTTGTTGGTCTTATTGACATTTTCACATTTTAACACCAGAAATATTGATGGTCTACTGTTGGTTGACATGCTTTTTTGCTTCATTCAGAGTACTCAAATTTTTGTATTGTGAGGGACACATATGTTTGGTATTTTCTGGATTTCTTCTCAATTTGTCATTTACCAACACATTTTTGCTTTGACACACATGTAAATTTAAGTCACTTGAATACTGTATGTCTTCTGTTGTGGCAACACTTTTTTTTTCAAAACTCCGTATACCTGATTTGTGGTTGTATGGGGGAGGAAGGAGTGGTTTCCAAGATCAAGCTTACTTTCAGGATCATTTTTGTATTTTCAACAACAAGTGATTATGTTGATTGTATCATTGTGTGTACTGTATATCTTTTGTCCAACCATGCACTGGTATTTTGTCAAAAACAGAGAAACACAAGGTAAATACTGTATCAACATATGTAATGTCAATTACAGTGAAAAATCACTCTGGAATATAACATGACATTTAAATCCATGAATCAGGTACATTACGTTGGTAACACCTGGACTACCTCATTAGGACAGCTTCAGAACTGTTGGTCAAGCCAGTCACATCCTGAGCATTGTAGCTTGTCTTTCATTCCAGTACTGGCTGGTGTTTAACTTTAGTGCCAGCAGCAGATATCATTTAGCAAGCTATGTTTCGATTAAGCCTCAGAAGTATATCTTAAAAAGTACTGGTCACTCAACTTCAAGCTTTGTTTTGTTTAAAGTTCACTTTATAGAGATGCTGGTCAGCAAGCTGTTTTATTTAGTCCCAGCAATAGACATCAAAGTATTGGTCAGCAAGCTGTGTTCAATGCTAATCCCAGCAATGTGTTACCTTCTTGGTACCGGTCAGCAAGATGTGTTTCATAGCTTTTATAATCCTTCATATCAAGACAACTTCACAATATTGAAGTTTATGAGTGATAAGTGTACAAATCTATTGAATTATATATATATATTTGTGATAGTGTGATGTAGAATTTCAGAAAAATTATCTGCATGTTTACAGAGAAAAAATAACTTTTTCAAAAACTCCTTATGACATATAAATGAACAGTATGTTAATGGAGAGAGAAAAAAAAATGATTCAAGTTTTAGTTAAGTAGATCTTAAGCTTTTTTTGTATATATGTAGGTCATTTAAGGCTAAAAATAGATTTAAGATCGCTAGCAAATGATGTAGAATATTGTAAGCATGCTATTTAGTATTTATTTTGCTGTCAATGTATATTTTTTTGCAGCTGTTTACAGATTTAATTTATCTAACAACTACTATTAGTGCTAATATTGTGGCATATAGCTGTGATCCAGAAACACTGTATAGGTGAAACTGCTGTGAAGATCACACCATTTAAAACAATACTAGTGGTGGTTTTATAGATACTACTATAACAAATCTAACTCCTATTACAAATCATGTTACAATAAAAACTGAAAAATTAACAGATATTTCCAAAATTAATTTCTGTTAACGACTGATTAGATAATGTAACGGACCTCCTCAGCAGTCACAGATACACTGTTCTGTTCACATCTGTTTGTGCTTGCCGGACGAGAGTATAGGACTTCTCCATGCTTTTAGACTTTACAGGTACATCACTAACCTCCTTGGCCTTCTCAGTTTTACACAATTTCTGAGGAGGTAAATTTCCTGCTAGTTACCATGATTAGCGCTTGAGAGAAACAAAACATCAACTTTTCTCTGGATGTTCTCTAGCACTAGGATTTCTGTGGAAAGTTTCAGGTAGTTGGTATAGCAAAGAGTTTATTTAGTGATTTTCCAAGGTAGTATGATTAAGCTGGGTTTGAAATATTTTCCTTGGTGATATCCCCTGACATTACTGAATTGGTCGCTAGCTTTCTCCTTGGTGATATCCCCTGACATTACTGAAATGGTGGCTAGCTTTCTCCTTGGTGATATCCCCTGACATTACTGTATGGTCGCTAGCTTTCTCCTTGGTGATATCCCCTGACATTACTGTATGGTAGCTAGCTTTCTCCTTGGTGATATCCCCTGACATTACTGTATGGTCGCTAGCTTTCTCCTTGGTGATATCCCCTGACATTACTGTATGGTGGCTAGCTTTCTCCTTGGTGATATCCCCTGACATTACTGTATGGTCGCTAGCTTTCTCCTTGGTGATATCCCCTGACATTACTGTATGGTGGCTAGCTTTCTCCTTGGTGATATCCCCTGACATTACTGTATGGTCACTAGCTTTCTCCTTGGTGATATCCCCTGACATTACTGTATGGTGGCTAGCTTTCTCCTTGGTGATATCCCCTGACATTACTGTATGGTTGCTAGCTTTCTCCTTGGTGATATCCCCTGACATTACTGTATGGTGGCTAGCTTTCTCCTTGGTGATATCACCTGACATTACTGTATGGTGTCTAGCTTTGTCCTTGGTGATATCCCCTGACATTACTGTATGGTGGCTAGCTTTCTCCTTTGGTGATATCCCCTGACATTACTGTATGGTCGCTAGCTTTCTCCTTGGTGATATCCCCTGACATTACTGTATGGTTGCTAGCTTTCTCCTTGGTGATATCCCCTGACATTACTGTATGGTGGCTAGCTTTCTCCTTGGTGATATCACCTGACATTACTGTATGGTGTCTAGCTTTGTCCTTGGTGATATCCCCTGACATTACTGTATGGTGGCTAGCTTTCTCCTTTGGTGATATCCCCTGACATTACTGTATGGTCGCTAGCTTTCTCCTTGTATGGTGTATGCTAGCTTTCTCCTTGGTGATATCCCCTGACATTACTGTATGGTCACTAGCTTTCTCCTTGGTGATATCCCCTGACATTACTGTATGGTAGCTAGCTTTCTCCTTGGTGATATCCCCTGACATTACTGTATGGTGGCTAGCTTTCTCCTTGGTGATATCCCCTGACATTACTGTATGGTGGCTAGCTTTCTCCTTGGTGATATCCCCTGACATTACTGTATGGTGGCTAGCTTTCTCCTTGGTGATATCCCCTGACATTACTGTATGGTGTCTAGCTTTCTCCTTGGTGATATCTCCTTGGTGATATCCCCTGACATTACTGTATGGTTGCTAGCTTTCTCCTTGGTGATATCCCCTGACATTACTGTATGGTAGCTAGCTTTCTCCTTGGTGATATCCCCTGACATTACTGTATGGTGTCTAGCTTTCTCCTTGGTGATATCCCCTGACACTACTGTATGGTGGCTAGCTTTCTCCTTGGTGATGTCCCTTGACATTACTGTATGGTGGCTAGCTTTCTCCTTGGTGATATCACCTGACATTACTGTATGGTGTCTAGCTTTGTCCTTGGTGATATCCCCTGACATTACTGTATGGTGTCTAGCTTTCTCCTTGGTGATATCCCCTGACATTACTGTATGGTGTCTAGCTTTGTCCTTGGTGATATCCCCTGACATTACTGTATGGTGTCTAGCTTTCTCCTTGGTGATATCCCTGACATTACTGTATGGTCGCTAGCTTTCTCCTTGGTGATATCCCCTGACATTACTGTATGGTGTCTAGCTTTCTCTTTGGTGATATCCCCTGACATTACTGTATGGTGGCTAGCTTTCTCCTTGGTGATATCCCCTGACATTACTGTATGGTGGCTAGCTTTCTCCTTGGTGATATCCCCTGACATTACTGTATGGTGTCTAGCTTTCTCCTTGGTGATATCCCCTGACATTACTGTATGGTGTCTAGCTTTCTCCTTGGTGATATCCCCTGACATTACTGTATGGTGGCTAGCTTTCTCCATGGTGATACTCCCTGACATTACTGTATGGTCGCTAGCTTTCTCCTTGGTGATATCCCCTGACATTACTGAATTGGTCGCTAGCTTTCTCCTTGGTGATATCCCCTGACATTACTGAATTGGTCGCTAGCTTTCTCCATGGTGATACTCCCTGACATTACTGTATGGTGGCTAGCTTTCTCCTTGGTGATATCCCCTGACATTACTGAATTGGTCGCTAGCTTTCTCCTTGGTGATATCCCCTGACACTACTGTATGGTACTATACCTTCTCTCTCATGGTACTGTTTCAAACTTCATTTTCTCCCTGTATGTTTTTAAAAACTTCACAAACAATCAGTCTTTTCACTGGCCCCAGCTGAGACTTATCTTAAAGTGTCGTTTTGCTAGACGTTGATCTTCAATAGACTATCAATGTTGTGAGGACATAGAAATCCTTAATGAAACAACAATGTTTGACCTTTGTTCTCAGGACGGAATATTTACAAGTATGCAATGTACCTCAGGAACTAATGGGCACCCTGTAGTAGATGCATTAACAAATTGTCTTATTTTCTTAGAAAATACACCCTGGCAGCTAGTGGTATTTGGGAGAGCTAGATGGCTTATGAAACTAGACATGTACTTGTTGCTTATAGTTTGATATGCATTTTTCTGTGTAGTGGGTTTGCTATTGGTGGAGGACTTACATGGGTGGCTTGTAGAAAAGAAACATGGTGTCTACCAAACTGGCTGTATGTGTATCAGCGAGCCTAACTGGTGATAGATGACCAGTCTCACTTTATGTACTGACCTGTAGTGGCTACTTCAGCCAGTAGCAGTATTGTAGTACTGACCATATCTAACACCATCGTCCAATGTATACGTTTACAGGATAAGCCTGATGCCAGAGACTTGCCCACACCAAGCAGCACACCAACACAGAGTCGCAAAAATAGGCGACGCTCCAACCTATTTAATGTAAGCAAATCATAACGGTGCCGGTCTAGTGGATGTGGTCAGTGGTGTAATATGGCTCTCTGATTGGCTGGTCAAAGTCACGATTTTGATCCGCAGTTCTTTTCATATGAGTTTTCTATTTGATTATAATAAATTTTGTGAAGGGATTTGTAACTCGCTTGGTGTGCAATAACCCCGAAACTTTTCAGTTTTTACAGACTCTTTAGTAAAACATAAATATTCAATAGGAAATAATCACCTGCAGTTCAGTCATTGCAGATTCTTGTTGTCATAATTCTTGGTAAAAGATCTTATTTACTACTTCTTACATTATATACTTATATACAAGCTGATATATCAATTTCAAGTTCTTCAAAAGATGAAAAAAAGTATTTGGTGAATTTTAAAGAAATTACAAAAATCTGAACCATGATAGCTTTTATTAATCAGTATTACACATTCTTAAGCCTGACATGGAGTTTAGATAGATTTGTATATAATTCAAGCAACTTTGTCTAGATATAGAAGTAACTATAATTAATTAATATAATTAATTGGTGTTTGGAATTTCGCTCTTCGTTCTGTATGCCTCGTGCCTTTCAGTCAGTCATTCATCAAGTGAAATCAGGTGTCACTTTAACCACTGGTCATTTGTCCACTTATAGACCTGGCTTGTGACCAAAAATGACCTTGAATGTCTGTTGGAAGCCAGCGTTCTGATAAAATTCTGTCCCTAGCAATGTTTGGGTTAGAAAAACATAAATCATGTTACTTCATGTTCGTCAGCAATAGATATACTCTCCTGTCTATAAAGTAATTATGCACAAAGTTGTGTAAGTGCCTGATGCAGTTTATTCACAATCAAATGATTTTAATGTTTCTAGGAACATAACTTACAATTGTTAACAGAAAAGACATTGGTTACCTTGTTTACTTATCTTTTTTTCAAAGCCATTAAAATTTTTTTGTTAATTCATTATTATATCTTGAACTCTGGCCTCCACATCAGATTTCCTTCATTCGAATCGGTGTCACGCATTATGGACATACCTAACTAGTGTATGGGTTCAGTCACTGTTTTGACCAAAAGTTGGGTTGTTTTAATGGAAACAGTCTGTGCAATATGTGTTATATTGATTGTGTGGTGAACATCATTGGACATTAACCATTAACAGCATGTGTATGAATGATTTTATTTGCTACCTTGATTGCCAGTCGTTTTTTTGTTTGCTGTATTCTTTGATAGCTAGTTTTGTTGTTTGAATGATTTTTGTTTTTGTTTTGTGTTTGATTGTAACAGAGATGCAATCCAGTTTTTATCGTTTTTGTTTTTACCACTAGGGATGTAAAGTTATATGATAATCAGTAGGATTATAGCTAGTTTGATCACTATCTGTATGAAGCGAGTCAATTCTACTGCCATTCCCACTAGTGTCATATGTCCGAAGGATTGCTGGACATGAGTACCAATATTTCCCACAAGTGTCAAATGTCCACAGGAAAGCTCAACACGAGTACCAATGTTCTCCTCTTAGCTGTATGAATAGGCAGCAGTAAGTTAATATACACTGAAATAGGACTGACAGTATCTTCTGTTTTTCATGGCCGATATACAAGAGCTATTTTTGTAACATGCTTGACCAATATATCTCCTCAGACGGACATCGGAAATCTTAACACTTGGTTTTACCATAGTTTAAAAGAAATTTTGTTTAATCTGTCTGTTTTTAAAATGAGATAATAAACGAAAAAGTGATATTTCAAGGGTACAGAAACATTGGTAATGCCCAACCAGGCAACCACAAGGATCGTAAATTAAACACTGTTATGTCATGTTCTACTAAACGACCAGTGAACCTAATAACAACATTTAGATTGGGGTTAATTGACCTGTCAGCATTCATTTTAAGGCAAGTTTTCGTCCGTTATAGTAGCCAGTGAGAACCTCATTGAACTACATATGGAAGGCCCATTGCATGCTACGCAATGCATTTTGGGTAAAATGTCTTGCCCAAGGACACAACAATGACAATATGACCTGATCTGTTCGCATCTTTCCTCAGCTGCCAAGAGTTGGCAGGAGACAGGCAACATGCTGCAGTGATACACCTTGTTACAGACAGGCAACATGCTGCAGTGATACACCATGTTACAGACAGGAAACATGTTGCAGTCATACACACAATGTTACAGACAGGCAACATGCTGCTGTGATACACCTTGTTACAGACAGGCAACATGCTGCAGTGATACACCATGTTACAGACAGGAAACATGCTGCAGTCATACACACAATGTTACAGACAGGCAACATGCTGCAGTCATACACCTTGTTACAGACAGGAAACATGCTGCAATCATACACCATGTTACAGACAGGAAACATGCTGCAGTGATACACAATGTTACAGACAGGCAACATGCTGCAGTCATACACACAATGTTACAGACAGGAAACATGCTGCAGTCATACACCATGTTACAGACAGGAAACATGCTGCAGTGATACATCATGTTACAGACAGACAACATGCTGCAGTCATACACACAATGTTACAGACAGGAAACATGCTGCAGTCATACACAATGTTACAGACAGGAAACATGCTGCAGTGATACACCATGTTACAGACAGGAAACATGCTGCAGTGATACACCATGTTACAGACAGGAAACATGCTGCAGTGATACACCATGTTACAGACAGGAAACATGCTGCAGTGATACACCATGTTACAGACAGGAAACATGCTGCAGTGATACACCATGTTACAGACAGGAAACATGCTGCAGTGATACACCATGTTACAGACAGGAAACATGCTGCAGTGATACACCATGTTACAGACAGGAAACATGCTGCAGTGATACACCATGTTACAGACAGGAAACATGCTGCAGTGATACACCATGTTACAGACAGGAAACATGCTGCAGTGATACACATTGTTACAGACAGGAAACATGCTGCAGTGATACACCATGTTACAGACAGGAAACATGCTGCAGTGATACACCATGTTACAGACAGACAACATGCTGCAGTCATACACCATGTTACAGACAGGAAACATGCTGCAGTCATACACCATGTTACAGACAGGAAACATGCTGCAGTCATACACCATGTTCTGTCAGCTTTTAGCATGCAGTTCTAGATGAAACATTATGATTTGTTGCATAGTCATACTGTATAGCTAATGAATTTCACATGAAATATTTTTGCTGTTTCACAAGGCATTTACATCATCAGAAAAATTTGTCCTTGAAATGATAAGGCCCAAGATTTAAAATTAAGTCTTTTTTTTTTTTAAACAACTTCTCAATAACCAATGGACCAGATGTTTTGATATTTGGCTGAAATGTTCCTGGGATAAAACCAGACAAAGTTTGTGGAGAAAAAAATCCTTGACCTTTATTCTGGGTGACAGGGGTTAGATTGGTTATAATCTGTTAAACAACTTCTTCTCATGAATTAAAAGGCCAAGAGGCAGGATATTTGACTAGTATGTTCCTGGGATAAAGCCCAACAAATTTTAGAAAAATAAATGACTTTGACTTATATTCAAGGTCACAGGGGTCAAATGTTTTAAAACATTTATACAACTTATTTTCATGAAATAAAAGGCCTAGAGACATGATATTTAGCTGGTATATATATATATACTGGGTGGATGCTGCATGCCCATTAGGCCTCTTGTTATATTGGTAATGCCAGTAGCTGACTCAGATGTCTACAATGCTTAATTCAACAACTGCAATCATTTGGGATGGATTCATTGATGTGTGATACACAGGATATTTTACATTGTACAGAATACTTTCATTTATAACATTGATAAGCACAAATCCTTTCCAAATCTTGTTGAATTTTTTGGTATTTAACTGTTATAGGATAGGTGAATCAGTATAGAAATATTCATAGCAAGTTTCTACTGAAAAGGATGGAGAAACCCCTAACAGAATAGACGATCAGTTCACAGATAGAAAGATAGATAAAATTAGATGTCCTACCTCACACCAGGAGTAATATTAGCTAGAATTAGATGTCCTACCTCACGTCAGGAGCAATATTAGCTAGAATTAGATGTCCTACCTCACGTCAGGAGCAATATTATCTAGAATTAGATGTCCTACCTCATGTCAGGAGCAATATTAGCTAGAATTAGATGTCCTACCTCACACCAGGAGTAATATTAGCTAGAATTAGATGTCCTACCTCACGTCAGGAGCAATATTAGCTAGATTAAGATGTCCTACCTCACGTCAGGAGTAATATTAGCTTAAATTAGATGTCCTACCTCACACCAGGAGCAATATTAGCTTAGATAAGATGTCGTATCTCACTCCACTCATTGACCTGATAAAGGACAGAGCGATAGTCGGGTTAATTTTTTTTTTTATTTTGTCACTTTGTAAAGGTATTGATACTGATGCCGGCCATAGGTGTGGTCTTCTCATTGACATGCTATCTGTGACTGTTAAGAGGTAGCCTTAAGATATCCGACCCCAGTTGCTCAAAAGTTAGTTCATAGTTAACCAGTTGTTTGTGAAAAATTCAAATTGCTACCTTAGAGTGTTAAATGCAAAATTAACTTTCAAACTATTTCAATCTGAACTATCTCAACAAACCTACAGCTATGAAATGAAAAAGAATATTTCCAATTTTTGTTCAATTCAATTTTTAAAATTTTTGTGGGCCACTGGTTAGCTCCACCAAGGCCTTTGAACAACCAGTGCCAGGTAGCCATTGATCTTTCTGATGGAAAGAGATATGAGTTATTACAAACATGACAAAGAGGGCATATTGTGACATTACACTAACAGATTGCATCTCTGTTTAAATTGTAACTAGAGTTATACCCCTTAGACTACACTCTTCAGCTTACCACTTCACTTGTTAGTAGAACTTCTTCATGTACCAGGTAGCACTGTAAATTGTAGAGAGAGAGTAGACCTAAGTGTTGATACGGTCTTGGTATAATATTTCCTCAAAACACTATTTATTCTGTCAGTCTATCACTTTTTGTCAATTTTGAACATGGCAGAATATTCTTGTGATCAGTTAGGAACTCATTATGATATGTATGTAAAATGTGCAATTTCAAAGATATAAAGTACACCCCTTTATACAAAAAAGTGTAATCCCTAACTTAACAGTTTCTGATTTATAATTTCAATCAAATTAACCAAAATGATATTTAAACAATCTTGAAGCTACCTTTTCACTTTATTAGATGATAGAAAGATGAAAGACATTTTGAATCTGCCAACTTGGAAATACCGCTTGTATTGTGTTACCAACCTAGTCAACCCATAAAACTATCACATTTGATGATCCAGGGTAGCCTAACAGATAAATACTACAGCCAAAAATGATAATAAACAATCAATACAGAAACCAAGAGTGTTTGAATGTTCTGCTGGACCCTTAGGTCCAGAGCATTACGTGGCAGCTCTTGTGGACTTGAATTCTTAACACTGGGGGGTGCTTGGAGTGTTTTGAGTAAAAGTAACTGGGACAGTCTGTTGGCAGTTTTTTGGCCATAGGGTAGCCCAATGACAGAACTTTTAGGTCCTGGGATAGTCCAGCAGCAGTAACATTAGATCCTGGGATAACCTAGAGGCTGGGACAGACCAATGGCTGTAATGTGAGACCTTGGGACAGACCATTGGCTGTAATGTTAGACCCGGGGACAGCCTAGTTATTGTAATGTTAGACCCTGGGACAGCCCAGTTGTTGTAATGTTAGACCCTGGGACAGCCCAGTTGTTGTAATGTTAGACCCTGGGACAGACCAGTGACTGTAATGTTAGACCCTGGGACAGACCAGTGGCTGTAATGTTAGACCATGGAACAGACCAATTGCTGTAATGTTAGACCCTGGGACAGACCAGTGGCTGTAATGTTAGACCCTGGGAAAGTGCAACTCTGTTTGAAACATTTCAGGCAGTGCAAAGTTATCCCAAGATACACAAGCCAACCAGTAACAGATCTGTGCCTATCATTTTTCTTGCAGGTGCAGCTAGTCCAACCATTGCAGTTGCTTAGTGTTATAGTCTTGTGAACACCCACAATAGCTGTAATATCCCAGCCGATTGACTGTAGGGTATAGGGTGTTTGAATGTTAGTGCTGGTAGTTGCAGGAACGAAGGGGGAAAAATGGAAAAGTCACATTTATGATTAGATATTACCTCACTAAGGGAATTTAACCATACTGTAAGGAGGAAGTAAAACTCATATCTTCTGATGGCAGATTACCTGATGATTTGATTCTGTGGAGTTCAGGTTTCATCAACATTTCAACTTGAGGAACAAGCCAGATACTTTTGAATGTATCTTTCCCTGTATAATATTGAAAAAAATGTTGCTCAAACATTATTTATTGCATTAGAAAACAGAATGGTTTGGTATTTGGTGAAGAGATGTTGATGATCTGTGTCGTTCTACATTATGCTCTGGGAGAGTAAGGTCTGTTGTTAACGGAGACAAAAGGCCTATGGGTTTACCACCAGTCAAATAATCTCAGTTGGGAGTTTTACTTTGCACACTTACTATGTTCACATATTTGCACCTTTGATTTCCAGTCTTGCAGCCACTTGCTGGTGTGCTTTTTGTGTTCCTGGCCTGTGCAGTTTTTCCAAACCTGTATTTCTACAAGCTCTTTTGTATCTTTGCTAGCTGTTGTGATTGGCTAAGATCCTGTTTGATGGTAATTTGGTTGCCTGACAGAAAGATCCTGGAATTTGACCTTTGATATCTGACCCTCCCTGAACCACCTCCTTATTTCCTGTCACCCATTGGCTATTGATATATTAATTTGCATGATATTAATGCGGACTCCATTTTCAACAATATTATTTAAAATCTGGACTAAAAATTGAACTACAATATATACTTTGACCTGTCATTGATAACTACAGAAGTTATTTGAGATAACAGTGTAAGGAATCAGAGAATCAAGCATTTCGTCTACAATTATGTAACTGGACATGGATGGTCTCTCTACAGTTCATGTTGGTGTATAATGAGCAATTATCATCAGGCAAAGATTTATACATGTATAACCAATGTTACTAAAAACACACAAGCTATTAGCATGTGTTACCATATGATACAATCATAAGTCTATATATGATCTACAGAATAAGAGGTTAATATCTGATGTTTCAAACTTGAATTAACATGAGTTTATTGAGGTGTATTCAAGGATGTTACCAGGTCAGTCTAACTGTATCACTTGCGTCATGGGAGATAACTCTAGTATATAGTACATATATCAGGCAAGATCAGGCTAATTGTATCACTTGTGTCATGGGAGATCCCTCTAGTGTATTGTACTTATATCAGGCAAGGTCAGGCTAACTGTATCACATCTTACAGAGGAGATAACTCTAGTATATAGTACATATATCAGGCAAGGTCAGGCTAACTGTATCACTTCTTACAGGGGAGATAACTCTTGTAAATAGTGTAGATCAAACAAGGTCAGTCTAATTGTGGAACTTCTATCAGTGGAGATCATTCTAGTATAGAGTATATATCAGATAGGACTTGGATTAAGGGAAGTTACCCTAATATTTAGGAAATGTATCAGATGAGATCAGCTGAAATCAATCAGACTTACATATGATGTTACCCAAGTTCAGGTAACACTGCTTTACTGGGCACATATCAGTATACTTCAAATTTTCTGTTGTGAGGTTGAGACTGTCAAAAGTCTTATTAGATTTTTCATTGTAAAGAGAAATTTTAGCACAGTGTTTATCAAACTGCAAATATTTTTAGTTGGACAGATTTGATCATGATACTTTTGAATTTTAATAAACATTGAAAGAACTTTGGAAATCTTGTAAAGAATACTTCTGTGTTCAGAATATAAATAGATTAGGAAAAGGAGTATTGAGGGTTGAAAAAGTGAATATCCATTACAGCTATATTGATGTGTTCACTGCTGACAGTTTGATAGCAACAGGGAAAGCAATAAAACCTTAGGTATAATATGTATCGTAAAATATCTCGGAAAAATTATACAATAACGAATATTCATTGATAAAAGGAATGTATGATATGGTTTTTAACAATGAAATTAACTTTTGAAACTTGAATATGGAACTGCTTTTTTTCTTATTTAATTGTTAACTGAATTATTGATGTAAAAAGGCTTAGTAATATTCAAACCATACATCCCAACATCATGTGGGTGTGCTCATTTTTGGAAAGTTAGTATAATATTATATTTTCTGTAAATTATTTAATGTTTGAAATTTGTTTCTCAATATCTATAAAGAAACAGCATAGGCATTTTTATTTTGTGAAGTAATTGACTAGATGATTTTCTAAACACAAAGTATACAATATATGTTTTGTCTACAGCCAAAGAATAAAGAGGAAGAAAAGGTAAAGACGTTACCAGAGACAGAAAAGCTGGGAAGTGGACGTGTTATACCTCTCAAACAGGTATACATTCTAGTGTCTAGACGTTAAAAGTCAAATCAAATGAGAAAACAAAATTTTTTGTTAATAGTAAGTAATAGCAGGTGTACCACTCCGACCGGTACACATTCTAGTGTCTAGATGTTAAAAGTCAAATCAAATGAGAATATTAAGATGTTTGTTAATAGTAAGTAATAGCAGGTGTACCACTCCGACCGGTACACATTCTAGTGTCTAGAAGTTCAAAGTCAAATCAAATGAGAATACAAAAATTTTTGTAAATTGTTAGTCTTGTTTGGTAGTACAAATCCTAGTACTTGTACAGTAGACCAGACAGTGATGATAATAACATTTGAATGAGATGTAAGATCAGAGATGAAAATCTTTATCATTTCTTTTCTATGAATTTCATTTTTGTTTAGGGCTACCTGTACAAGAAGAGTCATGGTCTGAATAAGGAATGGAAGAAGAAGTATGTGACTTTACTTGATGATGCACGTTTGGCCTATCATCCTAGTCTTCATGTAAGTTAAATGATGTTTAATTATATTCACAATTTTGCTAATGTATAAGTAGTGTAAGGGACTGGACTGTACTGGTGTATCAGGAATATGAGGGACAAGATGGGCTAGATTATACTTGTGTGTTAGAGATATGATGGACTGGTTTTTGCAGTTGCATTTTGAATTATCACTGGTGAAAAATAACACTTTTGCCGACTTACACCGGTGAATAGAGAGAACACAAATAATCTGATAAAATTGACAAATCATGAAGCCCTGTACATCTGAAGGGTTTGTTTTCTTGTGACGGACCTTCCATGGTAAACATTTGTTTCCATGAAAGTCAGCAAACAATACAACGTAAATTACCTTATCAGAGATCAAATTCAATCCCCAAAAGTACATTATTAATGTGGATTTAACATGCTGCGCACTTGTGAAAGATACTTTAGTATTAGACACACTTATATATATTTATTTATTACAGAAGACACAATTAGATATTCTCTATATAATGGCATGGTCAGAACAAAGTTAGCAGTTCAACAAATAGGTGAAACAACAGTAATGCAGGTTTGAAAAAGTTTGGTTTATAGTACCCCCTTTTATTTACTTAGTCGGTGATGTACAGTTCTTGTTTTCAGTGAATCTGCTACTATTGGTTGTATTTATGTATCGGTATGGTTTGCTGTATTTTAGGATTATATGGTTGTATTTATGTATGGTTTGCTGTATTTCAGGATTATATGGTTGTATTTATGTATGGTTTGCTGTATTTCAGGATTACATGGATGACGTACATAAAAAGGAAATATCACTTATGCATACAACAGTAAAGATTCCTGGTCTGCGACCACGAACAACGAAGACAGTCCCTAACTATCCCCCTCAACATCCAAACCAGGATCCAGCGAATGGCCTGAAAAGTAAGCTAGGCAAGCAAAGTTTTAATACTTACAAAGGTGTTGTGCCAATGTTGTTCTCATATCGGAATACCACCGCTTGTGTTGTCAATTTGTTGTGTGATGTATAATAATGATGTATTTCCCAGTATAAGCCCGCCTATCTTAATCTATCAGAAATATTCTATTCTATATATTCTTATTTTTTATTTTGATGTTGAATATACCTTATTAAAGATAGGACCTATTTTATGTGAAATATATCTAAAAGGAGTTGGGCTTATTTGAGAAGTGGGTTCATCATTCATTAAATATTACACACATTTTGTCAAAAAAAGGTCTATATGCTTTGCTTAATGAATTCATTTCGACTCGCACTCTGATGAGGATGAACAATGTGTGATATATATTGATGTAGTACTGTGTGTATTGCCTACTGTTGTGTGTTTATCGATACACATACAGGTGGAGCTATGGTCGTTTTGCTTTTAAAATATTTTAAGTTTTGTTGTTCTTTTTTGCATGTTATTTTATTTGTATTATTGAAGTCTCACTTTAAATGAGCATGGTATATATTTACATATATATATATATATATATGGACAAAAACTAACAAAACAAATGTATGTTATCTTAAATTGAAAATGGGACACAGCAGTAAAAAAAGGGGGGGGGGGTCATTTACAAAGAGTGATTGTTAGATGAGACATTATCTGAGAGTTTTCAACAAAATTATATATCAATGGGGAGGGGGAGTTAGGAGTTTCAACAAAATTATATATCTGAAAGTTGGGGGAGGGAGGGGGGGGGGGGGGTCAGAATGTTTCAACAAAATTAAATATCTTGGGGGGGGGGGGGGGGGATGTCAGAAAGTTTCTTAAAAATTACTGGTATTTGGGGAAGTGTCGGTAGTCAGTATACCAAATTATTAATCTTTGCAGTTGGGGGGAGGAGGATGTTAGTATGTTTCAACAAAAATAAATTATTGGGTTTTTTGGGTTGTAACAATAAGACAGGTGTCCAGTTAACTAACTAGTTATTAGCCCTGATAAACCTCTGTTACTGAACCAGTATTTGATCTGAATAAGATTTGAACCTTGTGTGATGATACATTAGCAACCTAGAGCATGTTCACCGTTTCTGTGGAAGCTTGCATGTCAGTGTTGTAATCCAAGTGGCCCTTTATTCCAGGCAAGAATTCAAAGGACAAGGAAAACGTCATGTTGACTGGATTCGACATTGTGCGAGATCGTCATCATTCCAGTTCTGACAATTCTATTTCTGCACAAGGTGCGTCTTGTATTGTCTGGATAAGAAAAAGAATTTTCTTGTTTTTACTTTTCAAAACAGCTGTTCAGATTTTAATGTTAACATCATTATGTCTATATAAATTGTATTATTATCTAGGTATACAGGTTTCAGTTACTTGTTACATCTCTTTCTATTGCAGTTTTAGTTCTGACATGCATGGATTTTGCATGAGTGGCTTATGTTCCTCTGTCTATATATATCTAGGGTGTGGGGATTATGTTCCTCTGTCTATATATATCTAGGGTGTGAGGCTTATGTTCCTCTGTCTATATATATCTAGGGTGTGGGGATTATGTTCCTCTGTCTATATATATCTAGGGTGTGAGGCTTATGTTCCTCTGTCTATATATATCAAGGATGTGAGGCTTGTGTTCCTCTGTCTATATATATCAAGGATGTGAGGCTTATGTTCCTCTGTCTATACGTATCAAGGATGTGAGGCTTATGTTCCTCTGTCTAGACGTATCTAGGATGTGAGGCTTATGTTCCTCTGTCTAGACGTATCTAGGATGTGAGGCTTATGTTCCTCTGTCTATACGTATCAAGGATGTGAGGCTTGTGTTCCTCTGTCTATATATATCTAGGGTGTGAGGCTTATGTTCCTCTGTCTATATATATCTAGGGTGTGGGGATTATGTTCCTCTATCTATATATATCTAGGGTGTGAGGCTTATGTTCCTCTGTCTATACATATAAGGATGTGAGGCTTATGTTCCTCTGTCTATACATATAAGGATGTGAGGCTTATGTTCCTCTGTCTAGACATATCTAGGATGTGAGGCTTATGTTCCTCTGTCTATATATATCTAGGATGTGAGGCTTATGTTCCTCTGTCTATATATATCTAGGATGTGAGGCTTATGTTCCTTTTAATGAAAACCTGTTAAAATCTTCCCAAAATATGGAAAATTTCCCACAAAAACAGTGCTAATTAGTTAATTTTCATTTACTATTTTCCAAAGCATGTAATCATGAACAAGAAATATCAATTTAAGCTCAGCAATTTTATTTTTCATTTATGTTATCTTTATGTACCGTCTTTTCTGCTTTATAAGCCGTAGCTTTTTTCCTCGGCGGTTGGGCTTGTTGCTTATATACTGATACGGCTTGTGGACGAAAAAAAAAAAATGGCAGAAAGAAGAATAAAAATGTAGAGTATCGTCTGGACATCGGACCTGGAATGTTATGTATTTAGGAACGGCCATTTTTTGTCAAGGCGTATCACATGCACTATTGACCTGCGTGACCTCGCACTCTGATCATTTTGGTTGCTGTAACATGTCATGCTTCCAGAAATAATAAAACCTAGTGATTTTAACAAAGGATACTAGCACGAGATGTCCGTACCAAGTTTTTTACGAGTACCTGTCCATCACATATTTGTGACTGAAACAGATTGTCTAGAACAGTCATTTAATAACATTCTCCTGGATTTAATTAATCATACCTTTTAATATGAATCACAATAATAGTGGAAGTTAACAATAGCCTGTTGTTTGATAATTTTACGTTTTTTTTTAACACATCAATAAATTATAAAGAACTATCTGTTTATAAATTCAATTGCAAACTTTATCAAATGTTTCACTGAAGATCTTGATAAATTGCCTTGCGGTGTCTGTTATACCAACGACTTGGTTAGCGTAACGGTTACCACATCGTAAGAAAGGGTGCATCTTATATATAGATGAAATTGAAAAAAATCGTTAAAAACCAGTCCTGTGGGTGTGATTTAAAGCCCGCAAAATACAGTATGTCATATATTTTAACCTTATCCAACTTTTGAATTCTGACAAGAAGTCTATCAGAAATTTCTCAGGTTTTTCAAATAGACCATGAATCCCTCTGTTTCCATAATTGGTAGTAATGCCCATACATTAGATGTGAGTGCTGTTTTCCTCTTAAATTTTCAATGAATCTATACTATTTATATTTATTTATATTTTATTTATATACACTCTGAGACCGTGATCTAGGTAGCATACATCAATGCATCATGTCCAAATCGATACAAATTATGCATGAAAATATGAAACATGTTAGACACATAGATATTAAACATTTAGATTTTTCCTAACAATACATTTTCTGAATTTAAAATTTTACCAGTGATTATATCCTTGTTTTTAATTCTTCATTTTAAAAGGTAAAGTTTCCCTTGGGTGATTCACTTGAAGCATTACCTGTGGTGTGTAGTGGAAATTTCTCTGTGTCCACGTATATACCGACTCTCTGACATAAACGTTTATGAAAACACATCAACCTTTTCATTGACCTCCCTCATTCCATGGTATTTGGTAGTGCATAGCCCTAACATCAGAAGCATGTCTTTGTCATGTAACACAGTAATCGAGAAGGAATTTCAAGTTATTGGAAAAAATATACAACACCTAAATATATAGCTTAATTACATGCATATTTTTATTATGTTGCGACTCCTCTACTATGCATGGATTAAAACAATTGGATCGTCTCCCTTGGTAGTCTTTTCAGAGTGTCCAGAATAAGGTGAACTGAAAGCTTAAAGTCTGATGTTGACAGGATATAAATGAATTAATAACACCTGCACAAAACATTATCTGTTAACTGCATAAGTAAACTGTTAACATTATGTTTCCTTATTTCATTGGTGCGTTGATAATTGATGAGGATACCTGATAATTCTGTCAGACCAGAAACATTTTTTGAATAGCACTTTAACTTGCTGTTAGCAGCTTTATCAACAGAATTTGTTATATCTATGACCAATTAACTGAAGTTGAAGATACTTTCACAGGTCTGCCTAATGGTGATGGAGTGTTTGCCAAACTAGGAGTTAACGGCAGTAGTGTAGGATCTAAACTAGACACACCTAATGTGAAGAAACGGCATCGGCGAGCAAAGAGTGGAGGTCTAAAGAGTATGGAGCCTGGTGCTGGTGATGGTAAGTCTTTGGATCTGTGTAACACAAGACGGTAAAGTTGATATGGAGGGCTAGTATGTGGGGTAATATGGAAAGGGTAAGTCTGTGGGGGTAATATGGAGAGGGTGAGTCTGTGGGGTGATATGGAGAGAGTGAGTCTGTGAGGGTAATATGGAGAGGGTGAGTCTGTGGGGTGATATGGAGGGGGTGAGTTTGTGGGGTGATATGGAGAGGGTGAGTCTGTGGGGTGATATGGAGAGGGTGAATCTGTTGGGTTAATATGAAGAGGGTAAGTATGTGGGGTAATATGGAGAGGGTAAGTCTGGGGTAATATGGAGAGGGTAAGTCTGTGGGGTTAATATGGAGAGAACTGGTCTGTGGGGTAATATGGAGAGGGTAAGTCTGTGGGGTTAATATGGAGAGGGTGAGTCTGTGGGGTAATATGGAGAGGGTAAGTCTGGGGTAATATGGAGAGGGTGAGTCTGGGGTTAATATGGAGAGGGTGAGTCTGTGGGGTTAATATGGAGAGGGTAAGTCTGTGGGGGTAATATGGAGAGGGTGAGTCTGTGGGGTAATATGGAGAGGGTGAGTCTGTGGGTTTGTGTAGTCTGGTAAATATAAGTTAATACAATGAAGTGCAAGACTCTAATGTGGTATTGATATATATGTTTTGTCAATGGAACCCAATTGATAATGAGTTTACATTGTCTGTAATTTGATGTGAAAATGATATGCTGGAAAATGATATACCATTTTGAGATTTTGCAATATATGTTTAAAGTTGTGATCTTTCAGAGTATAGCAATTAAACCACAGTCCTGAAATGGCAACTAAATCTATGGTATTGATATTTAAATGAACAGTTCATGATATATTCATGTGACTGCCAGTAATTTATATGTGGTACATATCCTACCTATTGTTCTGATCTGTAAAAAATCATATTTACATCCCTGTCAGAGGGTGGGTCAATATCTGGTTTGTAATTTTGTACGTCAAAGTCACAATGATATATATCTTTTTTCAGAATCTGATGGTTATGAATTTATGATTGTGTCCCTGGAAAACAAACAGTGGCATTTTGAGGCGAACAATCATGAGGTATGTAAAGACTCTATTCACCACACTAGACTAAAATCTGATATCCTGTAAAAACATCCATATCTTCATTATTTATCAGATGTATCAGTGACATGATCTCACAATTGTAATTCAGTGAAGGACTACAAATATTTCTAAAATTTTACACAAGTGTATCTAAACCAAGTTTATAATTTACTTAATTATAGATCAACTGTACACAACAATGAACACAAACAGAAGATTTAGACCGGAGATCTTTATACGTACACTGTTAAGTACATATCACTAGATCACTAAATTTAAAATTAATTTCAAATTTATCCACAATAGCTCAGTTGTAGGAAAGATAATGTTCCTAATATTTATGTGTGATAGCATTAACTGTCTTTTATATGTGATTAAATATAAGGTCAAAGGTTAACAAAAATACACTGCCACTAATTATAGAATAAGTTGGTTTATCCCGGTAGTCCTAGGATAATAACTTTTATATGTGATTAAATATAAGGTCAAAGGTTAACAAAAATACACTGATTATAGAATAAGTTGGTTTATCCCTGTAGTCTAGGATAATTATGATATCACAATAATATGTGTCCTTCATGTCTCATTCTTTACCTAACTGTAAACATTTTGAGTTGCAAATTGTACTTCTGTGCATACAGAAGTTGTAAAATTCGTCTTGATAACATTGGTGTAACAGTCAAAGTTGTTGACGATACCATCAACGTAATAAACAACGAAACTGCTCGTGGATGTTGAGAATTCTATATCATATCTACAAGTGTAACAAGTGAGGCACTGTGTACAGTTAGCCAGTTGTCTTGTTTTTCCAGGAGAGAGATGACTGGATCACAGCAATAGAACAACAGATTTTCACAGCTCTACAGGGGAACGAGAGCTGTAAAACAAAGAAAATCTCCGCCACTGATCCAGACACAATACCCACCATGCGTAACACAAGAGGCAACAGTGCATGTGCTGATTGTGGAGCACCAAGTAAGTAGTGTGGCCTCGGACACCTGATGTATTCTTGGAATATAATTGTTTAAGAAATAGGCGCTGGAAATAGAGAAAATAACTGATTGGAATTGTAAACTTACTACCAGTATACGCAAAGATTGTGTACAAGTGTAAATGAACTTACTACCAGTATACATATAGATTGTGTACATGAAACAATAGGAACCATTAAAAATAAAGTAGGTTTTCTGGCATTGTTTGTAAATTACTTGTTGATAAACATCCTACCTCTGCTTCAGATCCGGACTGGGCCAGTCTAAACTTAGGAACCCTCATCTGTATAGAATGTTCAGGAATACATAGAAATCTGGGAACACATCTCTCTAGAGTAAGGTCACTGGACTTAGACGAATGGCCGTAAGTATCTCTTATGCTCTCTCAATGACTTTTTAAGACTTTATGTGGAAATCAATCTACCTGTTATACAGCAGCAAGTTTTCTTCAGAGATACAATGTCTTTAATGATTATAATCTTGACAATGATTTTTTCTATGAGAGAAAGTTCCGTTTTAGAGTAAGCCGAGTTTTGTCGTTATCATTCTCTTATTCATTATGTTCTCTCCTTTCAGGCCAGACCTCACCAAAGTGATGATTTCAATAGGAAATTCTACAGCAAATAGTGTTTGGGAGGCCCACCTCAAAGGCAGAACCAAACCGGGCCCTTCATCACCAAGGTAAGGGTTCTTAACCAAATGGAGTCTGAATTTCAGGACTCTAAACCACACCAAGCCTGCCTTCACCTGTGTATGTTCCTGGTTCCAAGCCAATCATTTTTCCTGAAATTTTGTTCCTGTACAGATCCAGTCTTTCTTCATTTATGTAGGATTGTAAACAAACTTATGTCTGCATTGGCCTGCTGAGAAAAGCCAACTTATCTTAATTTACATAGGTTATAAGAATCATATCCACTCCATCTTGGTAAAGATTCGTCCCTTAAACCAATTGTCTTTTTTAACAGCAATCTCTCCTCCAGCTAGGTCCTTTGGGATCGAACCTAGCCTCCATCTGTTCATGAAGATCCCAATGGTTTAACTCAGCCCCTCTTTGTCAAAACATTTGTCTACATAGCTATATAGAATCAGATTCAGATTAGCTTACTCAGGTAGATCCTCTACACATATTGAACAGAAAATGTAAAAAATTATGTCTTTCATTAGAAACAAAAGTCCCAAATTATTTACAGTGCTGCTTGTTCTGACCATAGGTGTTTGATGTTAATTTCTTGTTTTTAAATTTTAGAGAGGAAAAAGAACGATGGATTCGAGCCAAATATGATACAAAAGAATACCTTCCGCCAGCTCCTTACCTTGATATCTCTCTGAACCAGGTAAATTTACAGGTGTTAGGTTGAAATTGACAAGTGTAACTTTATCACATCCAGGTAAAAGTACAGGTGTAACAGAGATAAGGTTCGTTATGAGTCATTTAAAAAATTTGGACTGATGTTGAACCGTCAAGATTGTTTGGTCAAAAGAAAAATAAAATATGGAGGTTTCATGATAGAACTGATTGCAAAAATATACATACACCTTGTTTATCTTGTGACATCATGTCTTATTCTTCCTGGAAACAGAGCCTGGCTTTCTTTCTAGCTTTATATATACTTTTTGTACTTTGAATATACATTTTTTTCTTGAAAGAGCCATCTACACCTCTACACTGTGATAGATTTCTGAATAGTACCAGTACTCTGTAAATCTTAACGTGATTTTATTTTCAAATATGACATGTGCTATACATAGATCTGTTTAACCCTTCAGCAACTGATTGATGCTCTGGTACGGGAGGATATCAGAAACATTGTACTGGTGCTCGGTCACAGTACGGCCGAGGACATCAACGCACCCTACAGCAAGGACGATGGTCGCACTGCCTTACATATTGCAGCTGCTCTCGGCAATGTTGTTTATGTCCAACTGCTTCTCTGGGTAAATATAATGTTTATATTTATTTTCTTTTTATACATACCACTCATCTCAGGCTACATGATATTAGTGATGTCTCTTTTCTAATTAACATACTCAGCTAGATATTTGTTCTCGGTAAATAACATGAGGTCTGATATTTTTGTCATTTTAAGATGGAGAAGTAATGTATAAACCTTGGAGGGCTTGTGTCAGACATTTCCTGTGATATGTTACAAATCTGTTTTATCACTAAACTCAACCACCTTGTTACCATGATTGTAATAACATCCGTTACATAAATGTTTGATATGACACACATGTAGAAAGACTTAGTGGAGCTGTTTATTGAACTGAAGATTCTCATTGTGACATCCTAGCTTCAAGGTGTAGTGTACATTGGAATATCACAGAAGAAAGAGATGTAGAACAGAAATATTGACAGTTAAACTCTGTACCAGTCTAATGTTTCCAAAATTATCTGAGTTGTGTGTGAAACAATTTAAATTCGTTTTCATTTCATTCTAGACTTTTTACTTAACTAGAAACTTGTTAAGATGAGAAAATAGCCACCTTATTTCTTAAGTGTCAAACATATAGAAACTTTTATAAGATGTGATATTTCTCACTTGACCTGTGTGTGCTTTGAATTACAGTACAGTGCTAATGTGAAAGTAGTAGACCATGAAGGGAGGAATGCTCTTTGGTACGCAAAGAGCTCGGGATCAACAGACTGTGTCGAGCTCCTTATGAACAGCGGCTGTCCAGAACACCCTACATTACCTAGGAGACGCGGCAGTGCACAACCTGGCAAAAATGACGTTTTTGAAAAATTGCCTGCAAGTGTTATATGAGATTATACTGTACCTTAAAACATTATAACAAATTGTCTCCTTATGTTACTTGGAGACCCATCTCACTGCAGTGATGGTTTCGTATCTTATTACCCAGGAAACCTGTCTCTCACCAAAGGCAGAGTGTCCCAGCTTGTGTGTGTCCTCCGGCGAGGTCCTCATATACTCCTGTGATGGAGAATATTGTAATCTTGTTCAAGATTCTAAAGGCATCAACTTACATGTGAGATGCAGAGAAGGATCCTAAACCCAACACAGATGTCAGATTTCGATTGAAGCTCTAGTCAACAGTTTCTGGATAAACTGTACGAACAGACCATGTAACAAATTCTTGTCAGGGGATGGCATCTTGACAAGTATTGAAACAGATCAGTATAAACATGTTATTTAACACAGTGTGTGCTAACATTAAAAAAGTGCTGCATAGCCCACTTAAGTCATGTGATTAAGATATCACATGATGTACGTGATCATGTGACCTCACAGTAGCTAAACTTCCTTTGAAATTAACCTGATGTAGGTAAGAACATAATATGTGTAGTACAGTTTTCAGAATTTTTTAATAAATTTAAAAGTGACTGTAGATTTCAGCATAAGTTCTCGGCGACTTTCTTACCTGGTATATAGTGCAAGGTTGATACACACCTGCTGAACGAGAAAGTCTCACCTGCAGGACTAGGTGAACCTACTATTTTATATTGTGATATATACATGGGTTAGTGAGATTCCATGATACAATGATTCTCAGATTTATCACTTTTTTAAACTACAAATATACCAGTCCATTTGATAATACAATATGTTGTAGTTGACTGGTTGTCGGTTTGTAAAATCTCTGGTCCTGATGCAAATACAACTTTTTGGGGTTTTATTATTATTATTATCAATATTATTTACTTTTTTATTTCCAATCATTCAATTTTTTGTCAGGAAGCAAGTGAAGGATTTATCTACTATCTAAGAAGTTGTCACACCCCAACATTATATACTCATGTCTCTTCTAGAATTGATGTTGGGCTCATTTTTCTATTTGAAATCAATATTACTTATTCTACTGCAATTTTTATAAGCATTAAAAATATGAAGTGTTCAAATATTGAAAATCTTGTGAAAATTGGAAAACACAAAATGTATTGATTTTGTATATGAGTTGAAGACTGTGATTTGTTCCCTAAATATTACCATGCTTGCCTTTTATGTACAATAGGAACAGTCCTGACACCACCAGGCGAAGGACAACATAGGAAGATTCTCTTGAGTTCAGGTGAAAAGGTTTTTTAATTGCAATAAATATTTCACTGCCTCAGACAGTCCAATGTTTCATCGTCTTAAGTGTTCACGTCTAGCTGTCGTCGCCTGTGTGTAATGGTGAAAATATTGTGTTTTTTCTGATTCCTCGAGTGTTAAACATTAGTCAAGCAAGCATTCAGTGTATTGTATTACTATAATAAATCGTTAATCCTTCGAGTAGATCAAAGACTTTAATGTAGGGAAGCATTTATACATTATATATACCTTTAGGAAAACCGTTATATCTCTTTATAATGATATAGGATTTGTGGATATTTTTAAACGCTAAGTATATTGTTATGGAAAATACCTAAGATAAATGTTATAATTATACACAGTAAGTTTAACAAGTGTAAATGAATTTTATGCATTTTACATGTGAACAACCTCTGTAACAGCCTCCCGGTTCACACAGTAGACAACTTTGATGGGTCATATGTAGTTGTGTCTCCCATTAAGCATGAGAGTGTGTTGAGTTGTGACAGAAGGGTTTTGTGCCCGGCTACAATGGTTGTGTTAGATAAGGTATACATTATGACAGAGATCATCAGTACTCACATCTCCCAAATACTTACATATTTATCTTGAAAACCACTCAGAAGAAATATTGGAAGAGGTCAATAAAAAGAAGAAATGTTGGAAGCGGTCACTAAAAAGATGTTTTACTGTCTGCTGTTTAGTGTACGTCCTCCGAAGTCTTGTATATAAAGCTTCTGGAGACTTAAAAGTATTGTTCAGATATATTCTTTTTCACAAGTTACAACAACTGAGAACAAAGATTAATTTTCAAATACTGTAAACATATTTAACATTATTCATAACATTTCACGCTAAAACATTGATCTAAATTGCAATTATTTAGCCCATTTTTTTTTTATTTCCATTTTGTTATTATGAATAATGCACTAAAATTGTAAATAACTGATATTAACACTTCTACAGTGTGCTTTTTTGGATGTCTTATTAGGGCCAGACAATTCCAATCCCAATGGTATTAGGTCCATACAATGGTGTATGGTTAGGTAAATTTGTTATACAGGTTGTCTCGAGAATTGTTGGATGTTGGAATTAAGAACTGGTTGTTGACCCAAGGTTGTGTTCCACACTAAAAGATTATAATTTTTATAATTTATGGACAATCTGATATTAGATGTAAAGTAAAGATTTATCCATCCTCGTGATTATGCATCCTGTATGCATTTTATTTCATATCTGTATTGTTTCCTCGGTTCTATACATAAAAATTTACACTGTTAACTCACATCATAGGATTCAATACACAACAACTACTGTATTTTTCTAGCAATTAACCTTGAATAGTGATAAACGGTATGCTATTTTACTGTCCAATAATAAGCCCACCACTGGTTTTATAAGTGATGTAATGTCATGGCTCTGTTAGCTTTTTACACAATAAGTACAATATCATACATGTGATTGTCATCTGTTTGTTCAAAGTGGAATAACACAGGGATATGTTTTACGTCGACTGATAAAATGTTGGTAAAATGGGTAGACAGAACAAAATTCTCACAAAAGCTTGTTTCTCACATACATGATTCAAACATATGTCAACATTTATGCAATATACAATGTTTACCTTTTATATGTCAAAATACTGTGTTACTGTGGCAAATGTTCTCAGACTTAAGAAAAAATCATGCCAAGTCAATTAGCTACAAGTTATCGACTGCTTTTTTTGTTATCCATTAATACTTTCATTCCAACTGATTGTAAACTACACGTTATTCTTGTGTTCAAATCAAACAATCTTGAGGCTTTAGTTGTTAACAGGTAGATTACTGATACATATAACTCATTAACAAATTTCACATGGAAAATATCTCGTGAATGAAGTTTCTGGTTTAATGTCTTGTTCTATACCAATATAGATGTTATATACAATCCTAAATACCCAGGAAGTTGATACTGAAGCCCAGCTTTTATCCATTTATGATGAAGAATTATGTGCAATATGTAACAAGATATTGAAGTATGAAGGCGGTCGTGTCGTGTTTTATGTCACACATTTATTCTGTACACAGTATAAACCAGAATTGCTGTATACATGAATGACACACCTTCAGCAAGTATCAACAGCATAAAGTGTAACAGAAAATTTAATCAGGTCAAACCATTAACTAGTAAACAATAACAGAAAGTTTAATCAGGTCAGACCATTAACTAGTAAACATTAACACAGGGATATCCAACCCTAGACCAATATCTTAAGAATAAGGTGGTTGATATATTTATAAACATGGCGTGTCTATGATTTAGGGGAAATATTTTTATCAACATTCATGCCTGTTATTTTACAATTTATTAAGAGAATATTTGATAACTTATTTTTATCTATGGTTGTTCAATATATAGGTTGATGACAGGAATACTACTACAATAAGGAAGGAATTGTTTTTTATTTTATTGGTTAAGTATAACCCATCTTTACAAGTACTTGTACGGAAGAAGCATTACAGATATTTATTACCCATAATGGAGTATAGATTGTGGAAATGACCATTATTTATGTTGAACAAGTGTAAAATTATTATTTAAATTTATCATGTGTAAGATTATTGAAGAGGAGATCAATATTTTATGCTTCGCATGGATGGAATTTATTATTTAAGAACTTCACAGCAAAAGTTCGAAGGGAGAAAAACATAAACAGTGTCACAAGAGTACTTCTAACCTAGACACAAGTTCCAGTTAGTATGTACCATAGAAAGAGGTATTGCAACATTTACAAAAGAGAAATCCGTATTAGTTTTAATAATTAATCCTACTGTTCTTGTAATGATAAAACTATGTCAGGATAACTTTTATTTTATCCATGAATAAACAAGGTTGTATACAGAAGTATTGCTCACAGATAAAACTCACATGATGGTGTGTAAACATATATCCTACTGAGGGAAGATGTTGAAACATTATCTTTATAAGGTTGTCAGACAGGAGGGGCCAAGAATAAGGGTTGTTCACTTTTTAATTCAGTTATCTAGACATACTTGTAGGATGTAATGAAGTATTGTAGGGCTACCTATTTTTATGACTTCATCTTTCTGGTATGAATACCATTTTTGTGGAATCCAGGACGAGGAATTCAAATAATTGGTATATAGCTGTTAATTAACTGACTTTTTTTTCAAGATTGATATACCAAAGGCCCTGAATCCTGTGTCTGACATATGTGCATTAGTGACTAATCGAGTTGTGTAAGGCTGAGTGTGGTGCATGATTTAGATGCAATGTGTTCTTGTCTGGTGTGAATGAGGTAAAAATGTGCTTGACATTTATGAATGAGGTAAATGCTGTATTCTCTGTATAGATAATGTAGATATTTAAATTAAACAAGTGTAAATCTCAACTCTTGTACAGTTTCAACAGTGACAATTAAAATCTCAAAAGAAGAAAATTTGGTAAAGTCCTGGAGTTTGTTGATCTGTTATCCCAGCACAGTCGGTGATGTTGTGATTACCAACTTGACCACCCATTCAGCAACAATATGTTCTGGTACGGAACTGTAGTAAGTTCATATCTAAGTTATTTCATTTGGAAAATCTATTAAATAGTGCACATATTGAAAACGATTAGGAAAAAGGCAAAGGCTTGTCCACACCAAGTACCATCCCTTGAATAAGCATAACCAACATGAAGATGGAGGCTGGACTGAACAATATATACCAAACCCCTAGAAAAGAAATATTGATATTATGGAAATGAATCCAACTGCCAAGAGGGAAAACAGTGCTCAATGTTTTATGAAAATTAAAACAATCCTATAAAGTTTTAAAGAGATTGGTGGGAAAAGTTTTAACAAAATTGAAATGCTGACAGGAACAAAATCAGTCACTTTTTGAAATGTTGTTGAATCAAAATGCAGTTCATAAGAACACAATCTCATGTCAGGGTTTTCAACTTTACCAAATTTAAAAGAAATAGGTCAAAAACTGAGGGAGAAGTCTTGACAAGTTCAAAACTTTGAAAGAAAAAAGGGCAATAACTCTTCCAATAACTGTAAAATCACAATGCCATAAGAGAAAGAAATTCAATGTAATGGTTATAAAGCCTGCTAAAATTCAGAGAAATTTGCGGAAAATTGTGTGAGGGAAGAAAAAAAGTAAGAGGGGGTGGGGGGGTACCTCTATCAAAATATGTTGAATCAAACTGCTGTGAAGGAAAACACAGCCTCATTGTCATGTATCCAAATTTGAAATACGCTATCTGAAAAGTGAGGAGAGATTTGTGGAAAATAACAGCATATAATGAAAACAAGAAGGAGCAATAACTTCCATATTACAGTGGAATCAATCTGTCATTCAGGAAAACACAACTTTATGTTAAGATAATTAAGTCTGCCAAAGGAAAAGTTGACAAACGCCATACGTCGCGGTATCCTTATACGATATTGTGTATATGTGTTGTACAATATCGATGGTTAGTTACATAAAAACTACTTAAAGCATAAACGATTATTTGTATAGTGCTTCAAACACTCCGTGCTGTACTATAGTTTCCATGAAAAGGTTTTCTTAAAACCAGGACAAAGAGATCGAATTTTATGTTGACAATATCGGTATTGCTTCTGATGGTTAGATATATTGAAGGCATATATCTAGAATTACCTTGCACTACCTCTGTGGACGAGCTCGTCAAAACTGTACAAAAGACATTGCGATAGCATCTACATCTTTAAACACCTATTGTTGCGACTCAGTTTTGCAGTTTTCTCATATTGTGTATGTATCAATCCATTCTCTAGAGAATAATTGGGAAACTGCTTTGATAATAACCATTGTTCTTGTTAAAGTAATTGGAAGTGGACTGGATCAAAATCCATACTCAAAAGTTGGGAGAACGGGGTTAAGGGATAACTGGGTTATTCCATAGAACATTCGGTAGAATGTAATTAAAGGATGACTTGGTTATTCGATAGAATGGGATTAAAGGATAACTGGGTTATTCGATAGAATGGGTAAAAGGATGACTTGGTTATTCGATAGAATGGGATTAAAGGATAACTGGGTTGTTCGATAGAATGGGGTTAAAGGATAACTGGGTTATTCGATAGAACAATCAATTGAATGGAATAAAAGGGTACCTGGGTTCCGGAATGGTGAGCGTCTTCTATTCATCAACAACACCCGCCTGTGTAACTTAATGTAGGTCAATCAATGTAGCATCTCGTTCTCACAAGATATGGGATTCTTGTCGACATATTGTTTATCAAAAAATTCGATATATCGAACCAACTGCGACATGGAAAGACGATATGTTTGGTAGGTAGGAGTGTCTATATAGAAATTGAAAAATCACAATATGGAAATTTAAATTATCAAGCCTAATTGAAAGCTGTCCCCGTTGGTTTCCACGTAGAAAAAGATAGAGTTAAATGGCTGACGAAGAAGCTTGTTTTTTGTTCCATTGTTATACACCAAGTCTGAGTCTTTTGTAAACAGTACACACATATATATAAGATGACATAGAAAAAAAAATGTTCTGAAGTATCAAGTTAATATGACTATCTTCAAACACACCCGCAAACTGTTTGTGTAAATCGGTATATGATGTAACAAGAAATATCTAAGACCTTCCTTGTAGTATTATAGAGATCATGTATCATTACTGTAGTGATATTAAACACTAAGTTACACGCCCTTCACAAACCCATGGCTGTATAATCACGTTTTTACTCAGTATAATCATGGTTTTTACTCGGACACAAAATTGAAAGGTAGTTTCAAATCCATCTTCCGCGCACCACAATTTAATATTTGACACTTCAGTGTATAGATTTCTTTGCATGTTCCATTTATATTATAATTGGTAAATATTATCTGTTAAGGAAGAAAACTGAACAACCAGGAAAAAAGCTTCGTAGTAAGGAAAAATAACACAAACCTTTTCAAAATACCGATCACATTTCTACACAGCCATTTAATAAAAAGAAGAAAAATGAAAACATGATGAAGATAGAGTGGGGAGGTATTGACATGTAAAAACATCGATATTCTATCTCGCTTTAACCAGAGGAAAAACTATGAAGAAACAAATATTCACATACGGACTCAAAACTCAAGCTATTTAAAAGCTATACTATTCTCTTTATTTAACCCTCGTGGTTAAAATATCGACAAGGCAAAACTAAGTAATATCACGTTATCAAAATGAGAGTCGGTGTAATGATAAGGAAGCAAATGGGTGTAACACTTTACTATCAGCACATATCAAAACTAAGTAATATCATGTTATCAAAATGAGAATCGGGGTAGTGAAAAAGAAAGCAAATGGATGTAACACTTTACTATCAGTATATATCAAATAAGAAAAAAAACACAACAATATTTTCTAATGACGTCTAGCATTGAAATTGTCCCATCAGAAACAAGCCCATAGAATTGATAACATTTTTGTCTCACTATTCTTTCTGGTCAGTATAGTTGGTATATAATAGACAACGCTTCAGTCTTTACAATATCGTAAGATAACTTTAAGTATATTGTTTCGATAAATTTGCAGGGCAGATCTGTTAACTTTAACTGGACAGAGTCGTTGGGAGAAGGACTTCACATTTATTTGACCTGTTGCCATGGTGACTGTATCCAGCAATGAAACTATTTAATGTATTTATTTTTACAACAGAGCCATTGAGAGGTATTACCGACTTAAAGGAATTTTTTATAACCTTTCTTCGTGCCATCGAGTACCTTGAGGGAACACAATGGGCTTCATCCTCTGTACTGTTAAATCTAACACCTGGTTAGACATCAACACTTTCTGTAAGTTCGGCTGTCATACGTCACTGTATCTAAACGCTATGCACATCCTCTTGGACATTTCAAAGCATTACCATAACCATCCTGATGTGTTGAACATAAATTGCTGGATAAAAGTCATTTTAACATTGTTCACAAATGACGATAGATAACCATAAATACATTTAGCATTTTGTTATGATCTGAAAAATAGACGTTGTGCATTCTGTAGCCAGATGTTGTGTCCCATCTACAAAACATCATATAGAAAACGTGACTCTTTTTATTGATCTATGTCCATTTACCTAAATATGACATGTTTCAAAATACGTCAATCTGAAGTTTCAATATCGTGGGCAGTTGTCCTGGTGCTGAATTTCTGATGGAAAATATCTTCGTTAAGTTTAGTGGCAAGATCTTTCAACAGACTACTGGCATACCCACCATGGGGACAAACTGTGCTCTCTCTTAGCAGGCTTGTTTTTGCTTCCTTGCGAGGCTGTAGTTATCGAAGAGCTTATCAAAACTCCTGTCACAAATCTGGTTCTCACTTGAGAAACGTGACATTGCTTACCAGAATCAACCTAGATTTATATGGCGGGTACATGTATCTTTGATAATGAAGAAGGCGGTTTCCCTACCAGAACACGTGGTTTTAATTTGAATTTTGATCTTGTTGAACATGTCGATATTTATTGCCGTTAACATGCTGAACGACTTTATTGCATTTTACACACGTGCAACATGTCCATTTGGTACACACGTGCAGCATGTCCAGTGGGAATTTACCGTTCTATTGGAACTCTTTGAAGGATTAGTAACATTACTTATCTATGTCAATATACTGTTTTTAACGCTACTGCCAAAAGATGTTCGAAATTTCTTTATCCATGTTCCTCTTGGCCCCCTTTCCTGCCTGTTATAGTTTCTGATAAGTCATAGAAACAACAAAGCAGATATGCAGGTAGATGGATAGTTACTGTTCGAGACTGTCTAATTTTGTTATCGCGTTTTCGTGGGAAATACTTGCAAGACTCTTTTTTCAAATTGCATATGATCATAGGGGAATGCAAAATGGCAGACAGATGGTCTATCTTGGATTTTCACTTTTGAAGATGGCTGTCGCTACTTTCGGGAAGTATGAAGGAGTGTTTTTTTTTCAAAACGTGTAAGTCTTCATCAAGGAACTAAGTAATCCGGGATTTATCTGTCAAATCAGCAAACAGATACATGGAAATACATCTCGTTAGTTTTCCAAGGAAATGAACCTTATAAAACGGTACTGAATAGTGTCGTTTTCACATATTTGATAGTCTCACAAGACAGATTCGCAGGACACATATTAAATCACTTATACTAGTAAATGAATGAAGTTAGTTTTCCAAGGAAATGAACCTTATAAAACGGTACTGAATAGTGTCGTTTTCACATATTTGATAGTCTCACAAGACAGATTCGCAGGACACATATTAAATCACCTATATAAGTAAATGAATGAAGTACCGATTAGGTAGGTCATTGTTATCTGTGTGGTTTCTGATATGGGGCCTTGATCAAAGGAACAATTATGGACATCCTAATATTTGTATGGATTATTGAATTAAATGTACAGTGACGGGACATAAAGTATTGTATTATCCGCTTGTATATAGGCACAATCTTACACTGTTTAAAGTCTCCAATTAGGTAGCTTATACTTGTAAGTGTCGTGTTGGTGATAGGTGTGATGAGGTTGTCCTGATTTACCTTAACGCGCCATCAGGCGTGTCGACTTGTCTTTCTATGTCTGGTAAGTGTGTCAGCCATGTGTGCGCGCGCCTTCGATACGTACTATTGTTATTGAGCTGTTCCTTTTGACATGCCTGAGCCACATTTACCTGGGGCTGTTATACACGTAGTACAACACATAGGTAAGGCCACACCTGTAATCAGTGTTACCTGAACTGGCTTCACTGCGGGACACAGAACGAATTCTGATTTCTCAATACACAATACGGCGGCCATTTACCTTATATGTTTGTTACTCCATTGGTCAATTACTAACGAGAGGGACACTGACCAAGCACCTGCCCACGAGTGATCGACAGGAGCCACAGTTACGCGTTAATCGATGTGTGGGTAAACTACATTGTTATGAGAACATTCCTGGTGTGTGACGTTTTATGAGTCAATGCTATGTCAGGCGCAGAGGACAGTAGTTCTATGTCGTCTGCTTCGGAAGCCATGGCAGCCGTTACAGAAGACAATAGTGTAATTAGTGACACATTGGAGGCCGAATTATATCAGGACATATTAGGACGACTTGATAATGTAGAAATTTCAGCGAACTTGGACATACCTGACGAGGAGAATGACGACGACAGTAGAAACGACGACACACAGGAAACCGAGTCACTCGGTGCCGAATCGTCTGCTAGTGACAACAGCAAAGATGCCAAATCCCAAGACACGTCCGAAAATGGGAGTCCAGAAGTCAAATCAACACAACCGGAAGTGAAACGTTCTAAGTCAACAACAACGCCAAATAAGAAACCATCTGTAGATTCTAAAGATTCTAAAGAGATTAAATCTAAAGGATCAGTATTTTCGAAATTAAGACGTTTGACTAAAGCGGATAAAAAAAGTCGCAAAAAGCACGAAGAATCGCCACTTAGTGAAATTAAAATCGAGAAATTGCCACAGGTATTTGTAGCAAAATATCTCGGCAAAAAAACGACCAAAGGATTATTTGGACTGCAGCATGTGAGGAAACCCGTGGACAGAATGATTGGTACCTTACAGAAAGACTTGAGGGAAAATGAAAAGGTTGAGCTTCCGCTGACGTACATCGTTATATCCTCAAAAGGTATAGAGATTAGAGAGCACGCGGCATCCAAGGTGAAGGAGGTTGGGAATATAGGACTCGTTCCCATAGACTTTATATCGTATGGTGTTCAGGATATAAAATTCTGGAAAATATTCACCTTCATTGTCGTCAGCGAACTTTCCTCTCGTACCAAAACCACCGAGTGTCACGCAGTTCTCTGCGATTCCGAAGCGACGGCCAGAAAGATGGCGTTATCACTAGCAGCATCGTTCAACGTCTACAAGAAAAAACTCAGTAAAGAAGGAAAACCCAATAACTTTAAAGTGGAACTCCGACTTCCAGAGGAGCTGGCCGAGGCCTTCGAAGAGGAGTGCGATGCTTAGTGAACACATTTGGTGAAGTGGGATTTAACATATGGCCTATCGAAAAATCTTAGGGTTTATGTGAGTGTAGAGCCAGTCAAAGGGATTAAGAGATATAACTTACTTTAGTGTTCATAATGCCACTTACATGCCAAATATAGACCCATGATTTAGGGCAAGTGCAAGCTAACACTGCCGACTACCGTAAGTTTCGAGACGTCCAAGAACAGCTGTATTTAGTTCCTGTCATTGCGTGTGGAATTAGCGTTTCGAGTATCGTCAAGGGTTATTTATTGAAGTAAAATACGATCTTCAATTTAAAGTGATCTTCAAAGGGCTACGCCTTATTACATCATTCTTTTTTCTTTTGATGTAATTTTGAAGTTAAAGGTAAGCATGTTAAGCCTTGTGGCCGTCAAATGCAGACTTCTCATTTATTTATGGTCACATCGTTGGTTCTGAAAAGTTTGTGCTAACATTCTTAATATTCTCACTAAACGTGACAGTACAACTGATACATTATACCTTATAATTCATTACGGAAACTAAAATCTCGACGTGAAGCTTGGAAACGCTATTATTTATGTTTAAGAAGGGATTGCTAACTCGACACTGTAGAAATGTATACCGTTAAGCGTTAGGTCGTTCCTGGACCACATAAACCACCACAGCTTTCTGTCTGTGTCGTTAAGCTCTTACCAAAATCCATAAGTTAAACCAGCTGTTATCGACTCGTCATGTTTTGTAGCATCTACCCATTCAATCTATTTGAACAACGTGCAGCTATATGTGCGAGAGATATGACTGTAACATGTAACCTTGTTGGGTTATTTCGTATGAGAAATAACGATGTCATGCTTGCACTATGATGACGTCATGCTGTGACTAATGGTATTGACGTCGATGTCGGGTTATGACTGTGTTAAGGATGACGTTAGGCTGTGACTATTGATATTGACGTCGATGTCGGATTATGACTGTGTTAAGTATGACGTCATGCTGTGACTAATGGTATTGACGTCGATGTCGGGTTATGACTGTGTTAAGGATGACGTCAGGATTTTTATTGACGTTGATGTCGGGTTATGACTTTGTTAAATGACGTCATGCTGTGACTATTGATGTTGTCGTCGATGTCGGGTTATGACTTTGTTAAGGATGACGTCATGCTGTGACTTTTGATGTTGTCGTCGATGTCGGGTTATGACTTTTAAGGATGACGTCATACTGTGGCTTATGATATTGACGTCGATGTCGGGTTATGACTGTGTTAAGGATGACGTCAGGTTGTGATGTCGTTGTCGGATGAGGACAGTACATCTATGCGAGAATATTATGATGCTTTTGGTAATGGGAGAAATGGCAGACTTGTAAACACGTACATTGATTTTCACAAAACGTCTTTAAAGTTATTTCTATTAATGATAACTATAGTATTAACAATTAAATGCTGGTGGGCAAGTTTTTGAAAGATGATGAGACACGAAGGTAGACGAGTTGCTATTTATAATAGAAATGATAGTACGCTCTTTGTAAATACAAGTATGTCAGTCTCACTCAAAAAAAGTCACTTGAAAGTTTTTTGTTTTGTTATGGAAATTATAAATTGCAGCATTTTTGGAAATGAACCCATGTGTCACTTACAACGTGTGGTATGTTTATTTGGGTAAATGTGTTCGATAGTATTGTGTGTAATTTCATTACCGAAACGTTTCAAAAACTAACTTTGCACCACAAATAGAACAAAAGTGACTATTAGGGCGTGAGGGTGTGTGTGAGGGCGTGTGTGAGGGTGTGTTTGTAATTGGCAACAATGGTGTGTACGGGCGTGTTGGTAATGGTGTGTACGGGCGTGTTTGTAATGGTGTGTAAGGGCGTGTTTGTAATGGTGTGTAAGGGCGTGTTTGTGGATGTATTACTGTTTTGTTTTGTTTAGACGGTCAGTTTTCTTAAAGTATGTACCATAAATATTAAAATGTATTCTTACAGTGCATAATTATATGTCTACAACTCGCATGTTATACATACTTGCCATAATATCCAGTTTTGAGTACTTATATACATATGTCTGCACATGTGCTATGTATATTCATTTTGCAGATAAAGAGAACCAAAACATGTACATTGGTTGTATTTTTGTTTATTTTCGTGTTTATTTTTTAAAAAAAAAAGGTCAACATGCATGTGGGCTATATTTTTTGTAAATCCCAGAGGTACGATCTATTAACCTTTTCTACATACTTTAACAGTGTCATGATAAAATTGATGATAGTGAGCTGATATGGTTAATTTGGCCAAATGATATGTATATCTAAACCGTAATATACTAATACAGAGGTAAGGTCCTTCGTTACGGGCTCGTTTTAGTTCAACATATGACAAGAAGACCTACCTTAGTGAAAATTTTCTTTGCTAGAGTGTTATATTCTGATCGGATTTAAATTACTTTTGGTAATAACGTCTTACACTGGGGAGCGGTCAATTTGCAAACAGAAAGTGTGCGGAGTTGTCGTTCGTGAGATTGTGTTCGGATTGTATAATATGACATGTGTTGTAGATATAAAATATGTATAAATAGCTAAATCTGTATTGATAAATTACATAATGATATCTGAATATTGCAAATAATTTGTCTAAAATCAATTTGCAATGCCGGACATTTTGTCCGGTTAATTTCTAAAATTATAATTCACCAAAATCCGGGGAAAATAGAATAGGAGCATGTGACCAGAGGACGCCCACATCTCTTAAATCTTACCTCACATGTTTTATTTGCATACCCTCCTTGTATTGTTCTTGCACAAGTCACATGTAAAAACACAATGTTATGTAACAAAAATATTGGTATCTGTTCCGTGTACAGTATTTTACATTGTTAATTTGTCAATATAAACCGGGTTGTTGCCCTTAGTATTAGTTCTCATCAGCCGAAGTTTGTAAATTGTGGGGTTGTTTTTACGGGTCTGATTTAACGAGAAGCAAATTCTTTGACACACACAGTCATACTAACATGTTAATGATCTGACGAAGCGTTATGGACAATTAACGTTCTGAATGTTGTTTGAAAATGACAGTAGAATTGACTACTGACTGTGATGGTTACAGTCAAACTGCTCTACAGTATCGTTAGAGTAGACAACAACCAGTAATTGTAGTAAAAATGGCGATGTTGTAACCTGATAAGCGTACATAGACAAAACTTCCCGATCTTGTTCGTGACAATCTCGGTCCACAGGCCAGGCATTGTACCATCTCCTAAAGTTAATCAACTGTATGCTGCCACAGGTACATATCCTAGTGTCGGAGCCTATATACTAAAATAATTTAAGTTACAGTATCAATAAGGGACACACGTATGTTATATAGGTCGTTATACTGGGCCGGTCATTTCTTGGACTTAGGTCACGCATGGCTGGAGACGACATCCCGAGTTCATCATATCTGATGGAGCTTGTAAAAGGAAAGCTATGATCGGCAGTTCATCGACTGGTAGACAGCAAGAGGTGTGAAATCTATGGAAGCCTGTTAGGGTCAAATAGTAATATATTTTCCTGACTGCGAAAATATTTTATCAACCTAATACGTTTACGCTTCCATAGAAATCTGACCCGATACGCTATTGTATCGAAAAATAAATGCTCAAAAGATTAAACACTTGTCGAAGTATGGTGAGAGAGAGGATGGGACGGGGATTTCGGGACGTTTTCCTTTTTAACACTTCATGGGTTACGTGGTACGTACCGTATGGCACGTGCATCATGAAAAAATGTCACGGAAGTAGAACTGTAGCATTTGGTCTTTTGCTTTTGTAAGGAATAAGTATCATGTGATAAACAGAATATTATACTCGTGTTAAAGTAGATGAAATATGTATTTTAGAAAAAGTTTCTAGTTTAAAAACTATGTGATGGTATTAAATAAAAAACAAAGTAATGATGATCAATTAAGAAGGTAATTATTTGGAATATCATTGTACTGTTGTTACATCAATTTTAGTCAGATCGACTACGAAAGAAAAAAAACGTGCTAACTTTCAGATATCATATCAAACGTTTCTCGTTCTACAGAGACAGTAATGCAACATCTTCGGCCATCCTTAAGAAGTCGAATGCGTCACTAGAGGAAAATGATTATCCCGTGTTAGACATAGAACATCATCTAAATACATACATATGTGATAACTATACAATACATACAGATGTGATAACTATACAATACATACAGATGTGATAGCTATACAATACATACAGATGTGATAACTATACAATACATACAGGTGTGATAACTATACAATACAAACAGATGTGATAACTATACATTACATACAGATGTGATAGCTATACAATACATACAGATGTGATAACTGTACCATACAGATGTGATAACTGTACAATACAGATGTGATAACTATACAATACATACAGATGTGATAACTATACAATACATACAGATGTGATAACTATACAATACATACAGATGTGATAACTATACAATACATACAGATGTGATAACTATACAATATATACAGATGTGATAACTATACAATACATACAGATGTGATATCTATACAATATATACAGATGTGATAACTATACAATACATACAGATGTGATAACTATACAATACATACAGATGTGATAACTATACAATACATACAGATGTTGTAACTATACAATACATACAGATGTGATAACTATACAATACATACAGATGTTGTAACTATACAATACAAACATCACATATCCTCTAAATATATACAGATTGGTAACATTGCAGTAAATCGTGGTCATATTTCCGAAGTCAACAAAAACAAAGTCATTGCGAATGTCGTTCCACGAGGTCTTAACATAAGTAAGGCTTTTCTTACACAGAGGGAACTAAAATCATCGTGAAGTCAATCAAAGTTATCTCCCTTTAACGTAAATGTTGAAAATAATTACCGATCATCTTAACCGACAACCTCTGTTTTTTTTAAGTAAACGTGAACGTGCAAAACTACATTAACTTACAGCTTAAAAAAA